GCAAATACTCACCAGCAACTACACATCACACAACAAAAACACTAACCCAGGAACCTATCCTTGCAACAAACCTGTTGCCAACTCTGTCCACATATCTATTCAGGGGACACCATCATAGGGCCTAATCACATCAGCCACACTATCAGAGGTTTGTTCACCTGCACATCTACCAATGTGATATATGCCATTATGTGCCAGCAATGCCCTCTGCCATGTACATTGGCCAAACTGGACAGTCTCTACGTAAAAGAATAAATGGACACAAATAAGATGTCAAGAATTATAACATTCAAAAACCAGTCGGAGAACACTTCAATCTCTTTGGTCACTCGATTGCAGACCTAAAAGTTGCAATTCTTCAACAAAAAAACTTCAAAAACAGACTCCAACGAGAGACTGCTGAATTGGAATTAATTTGCAAACTGGACACAATTAAATTAGGCTTGAATAAAGACTGGGAGTGGATTGTGTCATTACACAAAGTTAAACTATTTCCTCATGTTTATTCCCTGCCCACTCCCCACTGTTCCTCACACATTCTTGTCAACTGCTGGAAATGGCCCACCTTGATTATCACTACAAAAGGTTTTTTTTCTCTCCTGCTGGTAATAGCTCACCTTACCTGATCACTCTCGTTACAGTGTGTATGGTAACACCTATTGTTTCATGTTCTCTGTGTATATAAAATCTCCCCACTGTATTTTCTACTACATGCATCCGATGAAGTGAGCTGTAGCTCACGAAAGCTTATGCTCCAATAAATTTGTTAATCTCTAAGGTGCCACAAGTACTCCTTTTCTTTTTGCGAATAATAATCCTTTGCATTTATCCAGTGGCTTGAATCATACAGATTTGTAATCCATTCCCCAACTTTTCATTTAAATCCCTCCCTAGAAACTCATTTCTATAGGATTTGCCTATATTCAGATATGAATTAGAACCTCCAGATGGGTTCTTGCCACTACTGATCATATCACTGTAATCCTTGTCCTCCCATATTGATATGGACACATTGCCTGTCTTAAATTGAGAGAAGCTCAAACTATTTGTCAGTAACCTCACACATTCACTACTCAATAAACATGCATCCTCTTTTCAAGCGTACTTTTCTATAGCAGATAGCTTATGGGTATCAGAAATGATTTTAGCTGGCTCGTTTGACCACTTTAATGCAACTTTTTGTGTGTGTAGTTTCAGAACAAACCACTAGACATGGAAGTTATAGGTAGCATTTTAATGTGGAATTTTCCAAGTAGTAGATCTTGAAAGATTAGAAGTTCATTCAATCTACGGTGATCTTAAATTATCTCTCTTTGGCAGCATGTCTTAATAGATATAGAGAAATTATACAGTGGCATGTTTTCACCTGCTATGTATTTGGATTTTGTGCAGATGTTCTGTTACTTCAAAGGCAGCACATAGTATCTGGAAAAGTGACATAAAATATAGAAGCTTTGAGGGGAAAAAATCTCTTAAAATATCATTTCTATTTTAATCATGTTCTGTCTCTTGATTTATTTAACAAATTCAATAAGTTTTTTTGGATCCAATAATCTTTCAAGTTTTCTTTCTGAAGCTGAAACCGATAACTTTTGGTATGAAACTTTTTCAGTAAAAGGGTCATTGTTGATAAGATTCTGACTAGTTCAGATTGGAATTTTTTTTCTTGTAATGACAGAAATTTGTCTTACAAAGAAGCAAAAGAAATAATTTTTGGAACTTGAAGGAAAGTTGTTTACTTAAGGCAGTGGTTCTCAACTCTGGTCCATCGCTTGTTCAGGGAAAGCCCTTGGCGCACCAGGCTGGTTTGTTTACCTGCCGCGTCTGCAGGTTCGGCTGATCGCGGCTCCCACTGGCCGCGGTTCGCCGCTCCAGGCCAATGGGGGCCGCAGAAAGTGGCGTTGGCTGAGGGATGTGCTGGCCATCCTTCCAGAGTTGAGAACCACTGGTTTAAGGAAAGCTGTACTGATTAGGTATTATATCTTATGGCCTGATCCTTCTTCTGTTGAAGTCAATGGGATCAGGAACTTGGATAGTTAAATGTTTGTTAAGAATATATAATTAAATTGAACTTTCAAAATTGTTTTTAGAAATAACAGTTGCTGTTTTAGGCCTCACTTCAGCAAGGCACCGAAGCATGGATCCAGTGCTTAATTTGTAATGAAATAGGTGCCGTGGCTCAAGTAATTAGGTGCTGGAGCTATTGCAATTGTATTACTTTCATAACTGATGCAGCAAGGCCCAGGTGCTGCTGGGGCTATGAACTGCCAAACCTAGAGATGCTGTGGCTGAGTCCTGGCAAGCACTGACATAAATTAAGCACAGCATGGGTCTGTCTTAACCATGTGAATAGTCCTGTTGACATCAAGATAGACACATGCTTACATCCCATGCTGAATTCAGGCCTTAGTACAGGGGTGGGCAAACTACTGCCCACGGGCTGGATCCAGCCCCTCAGGGCTTTGGATCTGGCCTGTGGGATTGCCAGCCCCGTGGTGCTGCGGGCCCTGTGCCGCTCCCGGAAGTGGATGGCATCATGTTTCTGTGGCCCCTTGGGGGGGCGGTGGCAGGGACAGAGGGCTCCGCGTGCTGCCCTCACCTGTGGGTTCCACACCCGAAGCCCCCATTGGCCAGGAACGGGGAACTGCTACCAATGGGAGCTTCAGGTGTGGAACCCACAGGTGAGGGCAGCACGCGGAGCCCTCTGCCCTCCCCGCCCTAGGTGCCACAGGGACGTGGTGCCAGCCGATTCCGTGAGGGGTGCAGGGCCAGGATAAGCAGGGAGCCTGCCTTAGTGGTGCGGCGCCGCTGCCACCCCAGAGCCACTCGAGGTAAGCGGTGCTGGGCCAGAGCCCGCACACCAAACCCCTCCTGCACCCTGCACCCCAGCTTCCTGCCCTGATCCCCCTCCTGCACCCTAAACCCCTGCCCTGAGCCCCCTGCTGCACCCCACACCGCTCCTGCACCCCAACCCCCTGCCCTGAGCCCCCTCCCGCACTCTGCACCCCTCCCTGCACCCCAACCCCCTGCTCTGTGCCCCCTCCTGCAACCTAACCCTGAGCCCCCTTGTACATCCTGCACCCCTCCTCCACCCCAGGCCCTTACCCTGAGCCCCTTCCTGCATACCACACACCTTCCCACACCCCGTATTCCCTCCCGCACCCCAACCCCCTGCCCCAGCCCTACATTCATGGCCCTGCATGCAATTTCCCCACCCAAATGTGGCCCTCGGGCCAAAATGTTTGCCCACCCCGACTTAGTATTTCATTATGAATGTCACTGTTGTGTCTCAGTTACAGCTGCCATTGTATTGTTATTTTCCCAGCAGGAGGTGGAGACTGATGGTGTAGTCTGAGGAACAGTAAACACAACTCATTGTTTGAATTTATGAGAAAAGCAAAAGGCACTTAAACGGTATAATTTGTAATGAAAAGTAATCAAACTCATCTTTACAATCATTTTATTTAACAGCAGTGTATTTTTTTATTAAATTAAAAAAAGACATTACCATATGGCATCTTTTGAAAATCTCTTGCTTTTTCTTAGGGCATTCAAATGCTGAGATTCATTTTCTGTGTGTCATGCTATTGTCAAGGTAGTCGCTTCCTCTTTGTTAATTATTCTTTCAGTTGTATGTAAGATCCAATTCTCCATTGTCCTGCACCTTGTGTGGTCAGTTACACCTGTTCAAAGTGGGTACAATAAGTTACCATTTTGTATTGGTAGCATTTTACACCTGTCACCTGTTCACTCTGCACTAGTGTAGAGAGCACTTGGTCATGCACTTGTTTGCAAAGTTGGTTGCAAAACTTAATTTACATATGTGACGGTGAAGTTTTCCTTAAAGTATCTTGGAAAGATATGTACAGTCTTGACAGTAGCATTTAAATGGTGTTTTCCTTTAAAAGAGGTCTCAGGCCTTAATCTTCTGTTTGTAGTTTTTTATTGACAAATTTCATGTCCATAGTATGAAGTACTTTGTATTTTACTTTAACCTTTGAAATAAATGAAGACATCTCATATTTAGTCTGTTGTCTACTGTAAAGTCTTGATGTTTGAAGTTTCATGTCATTTGGCTTTCCCAGGAATTGCTTCATTTCTTCCAAAGTGCTTACAGTTAGGTTTCTTATTTTTTGGTAAAATCTGTTCTTGCTATAGTGTTGGGAGTACATTTTTTTTTTTTAAAGCCTTCTGTGGTCTAACACAGTACATGTGTTTATAAAGATGCAGAAGGCCCCTTGAGGTCTGGGGAGGATTCTAGGCTCTATTAGGAGCTCTTCAAACTGTCTTTGGTCTCAGAGTAAGTGGAATGTCATTCACATGACTGCTCCCTGTGTACCTTGATACACACATGGCTGTGGGAAGACTTACTTCTGCAAGTTGTAAGGTTTACCATGGCACAAATTACCCAGATGTGTCAGTGTAGTGAGAAGACTGGACAGTCCCTTCATCATCGAGTGGAGCTAGAGAGAGCTACAAAGTAAGTGTGAGATGCTGTTTTGACATTGTTTTTTAAGGATTTCATTGTGACTTTGCTTGACTGTATCATGATGATGTTGAGTGTCAGTGACCCAAGTATTGCAATGGGATAATCAGAATGGGGCACTGTGATTATTTTGTGACTCTATTCATTAATTAATTGAATCTCCAGCCTTTCACTGTTGAATTCTATTACTCTAACACATCCATGTAGTTAAGCATATACTAGACTGAGCTACTTCGATATAGAAAAGGTGGCATTTAGCATAATCACACTGCAGATTTTTCAGTGTGTTGGGCCATAGTGCCAAGTGGTATAGCTCCACTGAACTCACCAGCTGAGAATCTGCCCTGTTGTTTTTGTGGGCACTGAACTGGAAAACAATTTACTGTCTTGCTGTTCTACAAAGACAAGTTGTTAATGAATGTTAGTTCTATTTACTTGATTTTACACAACTTAACAAGCTCTGCTGTTTACTTCCAGCATTACTTGTGTTAATGTATATATATTTTGTTACCAGCTCTTCCATGTGGCTTACATCCTTATCAAGTTTGCAAATTCTCCTCGCCCAGATCTCTGGGTGTTAGAAAGATCAGTGGACTTTGGAAGAACCTATGCACCTTGGCAGTATTTTGCTTGTGAGTATTGATTCTTGCAGCCCTGCAGTTTTATAGGAGAGTTTAATTATTTGTAGAATTTAGAAACAAAAAATCAACCTAGTGGTTTCCCTGAATAAAGTATGGTAACATGAGATGCGTTTGGAAGGGGTCTGGTATAACTGTTAACTAGTTATCCTCCGTAAAGCCCTGTCCTTACATTCATCAGCAAAATTAACATGACATGGTTTGAAAGTTTAGAATCTTTTTGTTTAAATTAGCCCAGAGACACACACTCAAACGGATTTTGTTGCCAGTAATTTTTCTTCCAAAGAGCCATAAGAGCAACTGCTTTATATATAGTTCTCTCTACTGAGAGAAGTCTTTGATGAGGTAAATTTTCAAAGCAAGGCATATTGATTTAATCTGACAACTTTCATTTAAACTGGTAGAGAACACATTATTAAAACCCAATATAGTACTGAAAAATGTAAAACTGCCCTTGGGATTTTTCCTTTTATCTTGTTCATGTCTTTTAATAGTGCCTTCCCCCCCCCCCCCCCCAGGATTCCAGTCTTCTTTATAAACCTAAACTGGAATACATGTACAATCACCCTACAATGCAACCATTTTTGTAGTGATATGTGGAAGCTGTTTCAGTGCATTGCCAAACACTAAGAACAGTTTAGGGCAGAAAGTGAAGAAGAATGTGTTCATTTGCTTTTAATATTGTTCATTTTTCTATAGTAATATTTCTATTTTCATACAGAGATGTAATTTGATTCAGGGAGATAATCTATTAGAAAACATGAGGATAGTTCTTTATGGATTTATGTAGCACAATAATGCACGTTTCAATATGTAAAAAAATTGATTTCTTATTTTACTAGATTCTAAAGCAGACTGTTTGGAACATTTTGGAAAAAAAGTTAGTGCTCGTATTAGGAGGGATGATGATGTTATTTGCACTACAGAGTATTCTCGAATTGTGCCTCTTGAAAATGGTGAGGTAAGTGCTTTTCAGAAGACTGGGAAATTTAATTTTTCACACTGGAAATAAACAGTGTTATACAGTGGTTGCTTATTAGTATGTTGTTATGAAACATTTGCTATTTCAATAAAACCTGAATTTTTAAGCCAATTTTCAAACGTAGGTGTCTATGTAAATCCATATTCAGGCATTTAAGAAGATGTCCTAATTTTTATACATGTGCTGAACATTCACAACTCCCAATGAGAAATGAGTGCTCAGAACTTCTGAACTTAGGCCATTTGTTTAGCTTCATGAATATAATTTAGGTGCCTTACTTTGGGCATCCAAGTATGAAAAATTTGGCTTTGTTTTCTGAGTAGTCACAATGACTGTAATGGGTCTAATTGTGTGAGAATTGCTGATGGAAGTAAAGGTTGCAGAATCAGACCTCTAAATTTCAATGAGCAGTAACTCTATTTTAAAAAAAAGAAAAATGCTGTAAATGTATAGTATAATATAAGTGTGTCTGTAAAAGCTAACACAGGTCATACTGCTTTGGCTTAGCAAGATGCTTCTTACCACTAGGAAATATGATTTATATTCCCTTTATATGAATGTTTATTAGTGGTTGCATTTATCATTCTTTCCAACATAATCTTTTATTGGAGGCCTGTGTCAGATCAAAATCCAAACTTCCTCATTATTCATGGTTGTTAGAATTGAATGTTATGTGACATGCCACTACAAAGAGAGGCTTGTGATGAAGCTTGTATCCAGATCCAAACTTCTTGAAAGTTTTGGGGATTTGGATCCAGTGTTCCAGTTTTGATTTATATTGGTCTATGAACATTTCTACAGAGTGGTCCAAAAACTTATAGAAAGATTAGCATTTTCTATTAAATTCTATGGATTTTCAGATTAATTTCTTTTAGAATCCTGTTGCATTATCCCCTGTTAAATGGTGTATGACTTTTTCTAAAGGAGTTGTGTTGTAATTGGAAACTTCAGTGATCCAATCTTATGTACTTACATGTTTCCAAGTGGCTACTATAAACTGTATCTGAAATCAGTTCAGTTATAAACAAATAAATAGCTTTTGCTCAGTTGTACACACACTCTGATTTATTAATTTAGGGTTCACTTATGATTGCTGGGATGCTGGCATCAATTTCTTTTTCATAATAAGAGCATTGAAGCATTTGTTTTGAATTATTATACAAACCTGCTCCCGCATGGAGGGAAATTCTAAAGTAACATTGAGTACTCAGCAAAAAAAAAAACAACCCGAGGAGACCTTAGAGACTAACAAATTTATTTGGGCCTAAGCTTTTGTGGGCTAAAACCCACTTCATCGGATGCATGCAGTGGAAAATACAGTAGGAAGATATATATATATACAGAGAACATGAAAAAATGGGTGTTGCCATATCAACTGTAATGAGACCAATCAATTAAGGTGAGCTATTATCAGCAGGAGAAAAAAAACCTTTTGTAGTGATAATCAGGATGGCCCATATCAAACCGTTGACAAGAAGGTGTGAGTAACAGTAGGGGAAAAATTAGCATGGGGAAATAGTTTTTACTTTGTGTAATGACCCATCCACTCCCAGTCTTTATTCAAGCCTAATTTAATGGTGTCCAGTTTGCAAATTAATTCCAGTTCTGCAGTTTCTCGTTGGAGTCTGTTGTTGAAGTTTTTTTGTTGGAGAATTGTGACTACTCTGAAATTGAGTGATCAGGGTGGTTGAAATGTTCTCCGACCGGTTTTTGAATGTTACAATTCTTGACTTTTGATTTGTGTCCATTTATTCTTTTGCGTAGAGATTGTCCGGTTTGGCCAATGTACATGGCAGAGGGGTATTGTTGGCACATGATGGCATATATCACATTGGTAGATGTGCAGGTGAATGAGCCTCTGATGGTGTGGCTGATGTGATTAGGTCCTATGATGGTGTCCCTTGAATAGATATGTGGACAGAGTTGGCAATGGGCTTTGTTGCAAGGATAGGTTCCTGGGTTAGTGTTTTTGTTGTGTGGTGTGTGGTTGCTGGTGAGTATTTGCTTCAGGTTGTGGGGCTGTCTGTAAGTGAGGAAAGTACTCACTTTCAAAAGTACATGAACATACTCTCAGGCACTGTAGCTATTAACTGAAATGTATTCCAGGAATTTTTGTGCCTTAACCCAAAAGTGAATGCATGTTGGTAAAAGGGCAATATCCTGAAGTTCTTACTTAGGTAAAAGTCCTATGGACATCATTGCTGTTAGTAATGTATTAGGAACTGACTTGTTTTTGTTGTTTTCTGTAAAATTACATGTATCTCTTCAGTACTCTCTGACGTAATTCATTCAAGACACATGAAGCTCTTGAAAACCAGGATATGTAACATGAGTAAATTGTGCCTGAAGTGAATGGGAATTTTTTCAATATTCAGGTTTTGCTGTGAATATTTTCATAATTTTCATAGAACCTATGATTGCTGGAGCATCCTGCTAAATCAGAGCAGTACGGCCTGTATTAGCATTTACAGACACTTATACTATATACTTAAAGCATTTAAATTTTGTTTTAAATAGAAGAGTTACTTCTCACTGAAATTTAGAGGCCCGAGTCTGTAACCTTACTCCCTTGAATACTAGACATGGTTAGAAATGAGCAATCTGTAAAGTTTTGGATGTTTATATTATCGAACCCTATGGATGGCTCCCCACTGTTGATGTTAACTGTTTGCTATGTTTTGACAAAAAGATCTTTGCTCTTTTATTAGATTGTGGTATCCTTGGTAAATGGTCGTCCAGGAGTAAAAAACTTCACTCACTCTCCCATACTTAGGGAATTTACCAAGGCAACAAACATCCGCTTGCGTTTTCTCAGAACCAATACCCTTCTTGGACACTTGATAGCCAAAGCTCAACGGGACCCCACTGTAACCCGCAGAGTAAGTAACTTTTTTCATAAATGGATGTTCAACAGTTGCCCTTCATTCCATTACAGTGAATGGAATGGCACAAATGTCTTTAGTTTGCAAAACCACAACAAAAAATGGATATGGTCCTGATGATCCCCTCCAGCTCCACTTGCAGAGGGAAGCTAGTTGGGACAGATCAGAGTTGTGTGGTTTGTGTAGGGGGAGTGTGATGCTCTCAGGGCACCCAGAACTGTAAGCCATTGTGTTACCTCTCTGCATTAGCAAAAGAGCTTTGCTGGAGCTTAAACTGTGTGACAGCTCCCTGCCATGCCAATCTGTTGGCCTTGCTAGCAAACCCCTTGAGTCTCTGTCAGTCTAAATCTTGCCTTGCAGGTAACATCCAGTGAACCCCAGTTCCTGAGTTCCCCAGAGACATCTTTCTGCAGTGTCCAGTCGCTCTCAGTGGACACTCACAGAAATTAACCAAGTTCCCTGTCTTCAAAGAGAGGCAGAATATACAACAGCCTGTTAGTTCAGCTGGGGATGCATGCCTTAACTTTAATATAACAGCACTAAGATGGTTTATATTAAAAACTAAGAATAAGTTTATTAACCAAGAGAGATTTATGTGATACTAAGCAAGAGAAAAAGAGAAAGGTATGCTTTAAAACAAAAGAAAAACACTTTCTAGTGCCAGAAATTGAATTCTAGTAAATGATATCTTTGCCTAAAACAGTTTCTCAGGGATAGCTCAGTGGTTTGAGCATTGGCCTCCTAAATCTAGGGTTGTGAGTTCAATCCCTGAGGGGGCCATTTTGGGCTCTGGGGCAAAAATTGGGGATTGGTCTTGCTTTGAGCAGGGGGTTGGACTAGATGACCTCCTGAGGTCCCTTCCAAACCTGATATTCTATGATCACATGACCAGCAACTCCAGCTCTTTAGGAGGATCCACCTTTCACATAATCAGAAGGTCCTATTCCCTTTGTCCCCTAAGAGATGGATAACGAAATGTCTCATGAAAGATGGGTCACAGCCAACTTTGCTGTAAAGCGCTGCAAGGATTTTGGATGAGCAATATTCTACAAGACTTAATTAACTAGATACACTCATGTCAAATCTCTGGAATGCATGATATGATTTTATTTCATATGTAACCATTTGTTTCCAGTACTTCTGCTTGCTATTATTTGAATCTCTCTTTGTTAAATGAACTTAATTTCACTATAAACATATCTAAGTGCTGTGTGTTAGCAGAGCTGTGATCCAAGGTGAAACTGGTAAGGTGGGGTATACAGCTTCTGTGGAAGCAGCCAATCTGTGAATACTGTGACTGTCCAGTGGACCAGGGGCTGGAGGCCAAGGGAGATGCTTGGATTGAGGGTTGGGGTGTGCCAATTGCAGGCCTGTAGGCTGACAGGGAGTCCTGCAAGGTCTAGGGGGAAGTGTTTGTATTGCCCATGGCTGGGAGCTGACCCATGGCAGGCACAGACAAGGTTTCCTCACACTAAGAGAAGACGGTAGCAAAGTGTGTCTCAACCCTGGGTACCCCCGGGAAGTGCCACAGCTTAGAAGTCCGCTGCCCATTCTGTGGGGAAATAAGAGAGGGGCAGACTCTTTGATGGAATAATCCATAAGAATCTCTATTCATTGGAATTTGTAGAGTTTCTTGACCCAATGTGGTTATTTACCTATCAATTATACTGCAACAGAACCCAAAGGCTCCAGTCAGTGCCATTTGGCTAAGGACTGTACAAATACATATGGGTCCCCTCAACAAAAAAATACTTACCCATTCCAGTTGCTTGGCAGCGTACATTATGAAAGTCTTAAGTGCAGCTGTAGGATTTTATTTAAGATATTACTTACAGGCTAAAATACATGCAGTACTTGTTATTCTGCTTGCCAAACACCATAACTTCAGCCTAAGGAACTCTTCCTGATGTAATCAAATAGTCAAATTTGATGGTGAGAGAACATATGGGAGGGGTAATAAGGTAATGTGTTTCATTAACTTGCTGACAGGGAGAGTGTCAAGACTTTTCATATCAGATGCCCTTGAAAACTAGCAGTAGTTCAGCATTCTGGGAGAGAGTCATTGTGTTAAACCTACTGTATAAACAAAACCAAACCAGCCCATCCCCTTCCCTCTGTACAAAGAACTGCCATATCCTCAATTTACGCATTGACTTCATAAGGTTGAAAATTATCTGCAGCACAAGCAATGTGGTATCTGAATTCTGACAATTTGGGCATAATACTGTTAATCCAGTGTAATGCCACAAAGTAGGAAGAAACCAGAGATTGAGTTACAAGTAATCATTATGGAGCTAACACATGATGAGATACTGCCAGAGAAAGTGTCAGGGACCATTTTTAATTTTGACCAAGACGCTGAAAGCATGGGGAGGGTGTGTGTGTGAAGAATAATAATAAACCACATTAGATGTGATTAGATGTGAATGTGTACATCCAAATAGAACTATTCCAGGAAGTAAAAATATGGCCTGGATTCTCTGGTCTACTAACGCCAATTTATTGCACCCATGTGGCAAAATGTAGCCTGCAAGCAGCCAGAGAGGGGCAATGGAGGAGTACCCCTATGCAGGGAGCTCTCTGTCAGCCATCTCTCCTCTCCTGGCGTAAGGAGAAACAGAGGACATCTCGGGGTGAGGTGGACTATTGGAGAGGACATAGTAGAGGATAGCTCAGCTGTGCCTGGCATAAACTAGAGCTGCCCCTTTAACGTACACTGGGGCCAGGTAGCTGAGGATCAGGGAGCTGCAACAGGCTCCTTGCAGCCTTCCCTTGCCACTGAGCATAGTGAAGAATCTGCTCTTAAGTTTCTTAAATGTACTCAGAAGTTACTATAAATAGTGGTATTTACACTGTCAGTCCAAACGACTAAATCGTTATCTGCCACAGCCTGAATGACTGCAGGGAGTGGTGGTGAGATATGAAGCTTTTCAACTCCAGGTCACTAGTTCAAATCTAGGTCATGTCAGTCATAATTGCAAGCGAGCAGGTGGGCTCGGTTCAATTCCTAGAGTTCCCTTGGCATGATCCTAGCTCACCATCACAACTGGCACCATTGTTGGCAGTTACACAGCAGAAAGGTCATCAACTTATTGGGAATGGAGATTGAACTATTACTTCCAGGGGCTGTGGTTCTAGAATCTAGCCAGGACACTTTATAAAGACAGCATGGGGAATGGTGAAATACCACTGTCTGTGCGGTATCTATTCAGTGGGTAACACTGAGCTAGTGTGAAATGGCTTTGATTAATGAATCTGGGCCTGATCTGCAACATGGATGTCAGTAGGAGTTTGGCTGTTGACTTCAGGAAAGCTGGATCAGGCCCTTTGTGGATATATTTGTTTAATATTCTGATAAGCAAGATTTAATGAGATAGTAATGATTTTCTGATGTTACTGTGGCCGCCATCCTACAGGCAAAGGAAAGATGTACACATAATTCTTGATTTGTTTTACAGTATTACTACAGCATAAAGGACATCAGTATTGGTGGACGATGTGTTTGCAATGGTCATGCTGAAGTCTGTAATGCAAAAAGTGCTGAAAACCTGTACCAGTAAGTAAACTGAGCAGCATGCTCATTTCACAGACTATAAACCAATGCAGAGGTATTTTCAAATTACGATTTTTAATGATAAAATAAGGATGTCTTATAGTTTTCTTTATAATGTTTTTAAAGTGAGAGTGTGGTAAGGCATACATGAAGATATGCTGAGAGGTATTCTGTGTTGATTAAGTTTAACAATAAAAGAGTGTGCATTAGGTCTTTTTAAAATTAAAATGCGGCTTTGCTAGACTCAATAGTGTGTTAAACTGGTATTTCCCAAAAGGTGGGTCTCCACCTACCTGTGGATTGTGGAAAGATTCTAGATCTAAGGTCATGGGGCCCTAGGCAAATAAACATTCTCCTAGGCTGCTGTGGAGGGCAGGCCCAGGGTGTGGAGGGTAGTGGAGAGTGAGCCCACCCTGCACTTATCCTGTGGCAGCGGTTCCTGTCCCATGGGGCTGGGCCCGGTTCCATGCTCCACGTGTTGAGATTTGCTGTGTGGGATTGCAGTGCCACTCAGGTTTTGCCCAGTTGCCCCTCCATCATGACGGAGGGGTGACCAGGGCAAACCTCAGTGGCATTGTGACTTCATGCACCAAGAGGAGAGAGTTGGGCCCAGCCCCATGAGACAGGAGCCACCACTGTGTGAGGAGTGCAGGGTGGGCTCATAGAATCATAGAATATCAGGGTTGGAAGGGACCTCAGGAGGTCATCTAGTCCAACCCCCTGCTCAAAGCAGGACCAATCCCCAACTAAATCACTCACCAGCCGCCTCATCCCTTTCTTCTCCCTCTGCCCCCCGCCCTTCTCTCTGGCTCAGGATTAGTGGGGGTGGAGATTGTGCTAGGGCAGAAGGTGTATATATGTAAATGGTGGGTCACAAAAAAAAAATACAAAATGCAGTTGAACACAGGAACATAACTTCAGTTGATGGGTCACCTTAGTGAAAAGTTTGGGAACTGCTGTGTTAAACTCACCTCTTTTGGATACCGAGAACCTGGTGTGAGATCACCAATTTATTTCACATAAGCCATCAAACAGCCACATATAATACTTAGTCCTGCCATGAGGCAGGAGACCAGACTAGATGACCTCTCAAGGTCCCTTCCAGTCTTATGATTCTATAATGGGCCAGCATCTCAGTGAAATTACTCCAGCTTTACAGCAGAATAACTGAGATAAGACTCAGACACCAGGACTTTTGGACATTATGTTGAAAGATCCCAACAAGAAAGTAAATGCACTAGATTCTATTACTAATCCCCTTGACCATCTATATGATACCTTTTCTGACTAGAATTGGTGACTATAGTAATATCAAGGAAAAAGCACAACCTTCTGTAGCAAGGGAAAAAACAATTCCATATATATATATATATAAATTATGTGTAGATACCACTAAGTCAGTGGTTCTCAACTCTGGTCCACCACCGCTTGTTCAGGGAAAGTCCCTGGCGCGCCGGGCTGGTTTGTTTATCTGCCGCATCCGCGGGTTCGGCCAATCGCGGCTCCCACTGGCCGCGGTTCGCCACTCAAGGCCAATGGGGGCTGCGGGAAGGGCGGCCAGCACGTCCCTTGGCCCACGCCACTTTCTGCAGCCCCCATTGGCCTGAAGCGGCGAACCGGCCCGGTAAACAAACCGGCCCAGCCCGCCAGGGGCTTTCCCTGAACAAGCGGTGGACCAGAGTTGAGAACCACTACCTTAAGTATTCCATAAGTGCCTTCATTATTGTCACAGACTTTGAAGTAAGTGGTTACAGGACTGAGCCCTTAGATAGGCACTTTGATTAAGTCAAAATAAATACAAAATTTTTCCTTTTGGAGGATGACTGTTAATTTTTATACTTTGGGTTATTTCTGATGATCTAATAGTCCTTAGTTTGCATTATTTTTATGAATAAGTTGATGTTACGCTCTTAGATATGTGAAATGGTGCACTGTAGTCACCGCTGGGGTGGCACCCTCTTCTGGCAATTCTGGGGATTAGCTCTGCCCAATTCAGCCCCTCCTTTCTTCTCTTCCATCACTGCAGCTGTCCTCTTGTGGTATGGCTTCTTCGTGACTCAGCCCTCCAGCCAGGTCATACTGATTTCTCCTTCTAGGGGATTCTTTCAAAGTCTCTCTGCTCAAGGAGCATCAGGCAGTCATCACACTTGCAGCCCTGACTATGTTACTCCCACAGTGACCGAAGTAGTCTGCCCGTTCACTGCACCAAGCCGTATCAGGAACCTGGGCCTGCCCTCTACTCTGGGTTCCAGTCCATGGCCCAATAGTGAGCAGTTAAGGTCCAGGTCTTCAGCAAACCTACTGCTCTCTTCCCTGGACTACTTCCTCCCGTGCTTCTTTAAGCTTCTCCTTCATCAACCTTCTTAGTCAGACCCCTCTTTCTTAGGCCTACTAGGTAAACCCTTCCTTATGGGTTTCTGTCTCCCCTTCTTTCTCCCTTACCTCAGGGATAGAAACTGCAGCTTCCTCTCTGCCACTTGTGATGCCTGGCTTTATAGAAGCCCCATATGTTCCTTCACAGGTGAGCTTCCTTCTAATTAGCACCCTCCACACAGCTTACATCTCCCCTATTTTCAGTTTAATTGACTGATTGGGCTCACCTGGCCTAATTCAACTCTCTCAGAGCTGGTGTGGGAAGGTCACCCCATCATAGTAGATTATAAAGCTCTAATAATTTTTTTTAACAAAAGATAATGAAAAATTGAGTCCAGAGTGTAACGGTAACAAACATTTTGATATAGTGTAGGACAGCAAGCTTGAGCCTTGGATCAAGAGCTAAAATAAGATATATTTGCAACTATGGCATATCATCCTGGGTTAATATCCTCTCAGGATACGGTTTCTTAAGCCATTGTTTATTTAATCCAATTACAAAAGACCTCTATAAATCATTTGTGCTAAAAAGCACAAAATGATGTGAGTGAGATACTCTATTGTGAGGAATGCTAGGATGGTTGTGAAAGGGTTTAGCATTACATTGTGTCCCCTTTACACTTGGTCTTGCCATTTTCATGTTAGAAGTAAATTTTGGATTGTGGTAAAATAAGAAAAATATATATAGTTTTAAATCCTATTTCAATTAAACGAGAATCTTTTCAATATCCAGGTTTCAGTGTGAATGTCAGCATAACACTTGTGGGGAAACCTGTGATCGCTGCTGCCCTGGATATAATCAGAAACAATGGCAACCTGCAACTGCCAACAACGCAAATGAGTGTGAATGTGAGTAGCATGAAAATATGCTAATTTAAAGGTGACAATTCATACAGATTTTGATATAGAAATGGGAGGTACCTCCAGCACATACATGTTCACGCAAAATAGCAGAGCTGTGTTGACTGGCTGCAAAGCCCCCAGCAGAATAGAGATTGCAGGTGCCTGGCACTGCCTCAAACCTTCCCATAACTTTCACACCTCCCCTTTAGCTGGATTGCCCAGAATCTTGCCCCCCTGGAGGAATATGGCTGAATCCATTTACATATTTATTAGCATTTTTCTAAATTGTGCCCAGCAGGGCTTTGAATCCAACCCCTAGATTTTGAGCACTGGTGATGTGGGGGTGGTTAGAGGAGAAGGAAACTTCCATAGAACTACCTTGCCTGATACAATAAGCCTAATTTTGGTGAACCCCAAGTTCATTTAGTGGAACACTGAAATATTCGTAACAGTGCATTTAGATCCGTATTCCTTTTATATTTAGTGAGGAAACATTATATTGAGTTGGAAAGCGAATCAGAGTTATTTACTGTACATGGATTTGTGACGTAGCCCAGTTGAAAATTTTTTCTTGTAAACCAGGTACTTTAGAAGGAAAACCCTCTTTTGGGGAAGAGGTGTGCTTTCTTATTTTAAGAGTGTCAGCACGCAATCTAGTCTCTTCAAAAGATTCTTGGATCTTCAGTCTGCTCACTCAGAACAAAACTACATAGATGGAAGTGAAGAGTTGTTTTCTTCAGAGCAACACCAGTCACCCTTTCTAGTAACCTGGTCTCTTGACATATGCCTCTGGTAAATGGATGCAGATATTCTGTCTTCTTTTCCTTGAGCTCCTATGGGGGAGCTCCTTTGCAGCCAAGCTTTGCTCATTTCAGACAAACATTTCATTCTTTTGTTAAGAAAACTGGGACATGGGGAACCATGACCACTATGGCCCTTTTCTGGGTCTTGAAGAGGCTGTACTGTTCGCCATAGACTCTGTGTAACCACGTGGCATGAAAACTGTAGCTAAGGTGATTATAGCATTTGCTCTCTTTGTGTATTCCCCTCTTTTGAACATAGACAGGATTCTCTTCTCCCATATCATCTTGGCAGGCCAAAAGGCAGATGTTGTGACTTCAAGTTGTAACCCTGATAGAGTGTCAAGTAGATGTATATTTATATCATTGAAGAAGTGGGAAATAAGAACCGGTTTTATTTTAATCAAAGTTCAGCGGTGATCTGCCAAAATTGTGATAGTAAAAATGGCAGACAAAAAAAAGTAGAAGCAGTAGATAGAAACTAGGCATGTTATGACTTGGTCAATGAATACATTATAATTCATAAGGTTCTGAGCCAAAAATGTTTAACATCTACTGCTAACTGAAAAAGGGATCCTTTTAGCCTGAAAGTGTGTGTTTGTTTTAAGTTATTCACTGAGGATAGTACTCACTAGCTGAAGACAGCCTTCATTTACAGCCTGTAAGTCAGGAGTTTAGAGCAACCTTGCAAGTCTTCACAAAATCTCTGTATCCCTTGTAGGAACTCCCAACTCTCCTACAGAAAAATCAGTGGGAGACTGGGAGACCTGCCAAACCTGCAAATTTTTGTATCCGTCCACAATATTGTACTTTTCAGCAAATAGTCAAAACTTCAAGAAATTGTATTGTGATGTGTGAAGGGTATTTACCTACCTGCTGGTAAAAGTGCCATTACTTGGAACAAAGGAGGTAACTTGACATTATAGTAAGAGACATAGTAGAGGGCTCAGGATTCCAGTAGCCTTTGGCCATTAATAACATTAATAACAAAAAAAAGTTTTTTTGACACTTTCCTTTCCCTTCCTGCTTTTTCTAAGAGCAGGGGAACCAAAGATGGCCCAGCCATTTTGTCAGCTTTTGGCCCAGCTATTTCCCTCTGAATCTTGTTTAGTTTTCTTGAAGAACTTCATGTATGGACTGGAAAATGAGCTACAAAGGCTCTTCAGGCACAGCTTGTAAATCAGATCTGAGCCCATAAGCTCAGGCTCTGGTTCGTGTCAGCACAACAAAAAGTGGCCCATGACTTTACTCATCCAGGTTGTTTCACAGCAGGGATGTCACGCTCTAGAAGGGAAAGAGTTTCCTCTCCAGAGACCCTTTAGCAGGGCCGTCCCTAGATATTCTGGGGCCCTATGCAGACCGCCCCCCCGGAGGGGGTGTGTGTGGGGCCCCAGGCCTCTGTGGGGGGGAGGGGAGGGAAGGGAATGGAGGGGCAGGGCTGGCTTGGGAGGTACGGGGGAACCACCCCCCAGCACTCACCGGCTGCGTGGCTAGGGCCGGTTTGCTGCACTTCTCACTGCCGGTGAGTGCAGGCCTGGCCCTGCTGCAGAGCTCAGGGGAGTGGGGGCAGGGCTGAGGTGGAGCAGGGGAGGGAAGGGAGGGGCAGGGGCAGGAAGAGGCGGGGCGGGAGCAGGAGCCCTGGGGAAGAGGCGGGGCAGGGGCTGGAGTAGCATGCAGCAGCGCAGGGCACCAGGGAATTTGGTGCCCTAAATCTCTTGGTTCGCAATGCAGCTGCGTACTTTGCATATGGGTAAGGACGGCCCTGCCCTTTAGATATGAGGAATAAGAGGAATATCAGGATATGGAGGATTATCTAGAGAATCCACTTCTTGAACTATACAAACAGATAGCAAGACTGGGTAAGGAAGAATGCATTGTTCTTGGGATGTACTCCTTTTAATAGGATTATTACTGTAACTCTTGCTGAGACACAAAGCAAATGTGGGCAGACCTAGGGTCCTTAGCCCTTGTTTCTAGGGTTTTCCTTGCAAGGAACCTCTTTGTCGCAAAGACTGTTGTGGGGTTGCCCTTCTGCCTAGTTGCCAGGCTAGAGGAAAGGAGACTTCCCCCACTAAGTCTGATGCAGAACCACTGGAATCCTCTAGGAAGATTTCCTTGGAATATTCTTATTTAAGCAGGTCACTGATCCCTTAATATTCAAATGAAAGTGGAAAAGGAGGAAGCCAATATCGTCTTCATCTCCTTGAGTTATTTAAATTGGAGAGAGTTTTCCTCTTCAGTGAAAAAGATGAAGAGATTCAAGTAGGCAGTATTTAATTTGTGCTAGGACTTGCCAGGACTGAGCCCTGCACCTCTAGGCTTGGCAGTTCATAGCCTCTGGGTTTGCTGCATCAGTTATGAATATAAAAAACTTGCTTGAGCCCCAGCACCTTTTTCATTACAAATTAAGCACTGTCGGTAAGCTAAGTAAAGGTAAGGGTAAGGAGCTCAAGTAATACAAAGGCACCGGCTAGCCTTTGGTTTGTTACCTCTGTTTGCTATTCTGGTTAGTCACTACTCTGAATTATGTTACACCTCTGGATGTCTGGAAACTGGAGAAAGGAGAGCACAAGCTTTTAGATGGTTTGAGGGAATGAAGATAAGAGATTACGATAGACTGATATTGTGCCTGATGGACAGATTGGGAGGTGCTACTCATTAGTTTGCACTGGGGTAACAGGGCAAGAGAAAAGAATTAGATAAGGAATTCTATCCATCCACCATCCTTTACTCAAGACATATTTGCAGAAACTGTTCCAAGTGTTGAGCTATTTTCAGATTAACCCTCACCTTTCAACCAAGGCAAGAACTTTAGGTCAGTACTGGGACTTAGATTACTTTTAGAAAAAGGCTATGACAAGGTAATGAAGGCTGTTGCTGGATTTAGACCTACCAGCTTGATATAAATGGACCTGTAATATTTTTCAGACTACAAAGAGGCTGATATTCACAAAAGGCTACAGCACATTATCTGATGTACCTCATATTTTTTTTCCAGTGTGTGAACAATACTCCTAGGTCAGGGAGCTTTCCATTGGGCTAATGTTTATGTTGCATATGCTGACAGAATATGTAGTCTAGTGGGCCTTGAGAAGTGTTCTTTGGTCGTATGTTGTTCACTGCATGGAAAATTACTTCAGTCAGGAAGGGGTCAAAAGTTAGGACACAATCTCTAGAGTTGGACAAGATTCAGAATTGGTGTGAGTACAACTGCATTACCTTTATTTGGCCCAATAAATAAATAAAAATAAAAAAAACCGTACCAACCAAACAGAATAAAAACACATCATAGCTGAGATTCTAAACCCATATAAACTAGGAAACTGAGTTACTTACCACAGTCACCCCACCCCTAATGCTTGGTGAAGTAATTGTGTCTTTTGTTACATGATCACCTAGAGCAGGGGGTGGCAACCTTTCAGAAGTGGTGTGCCGAGTCTTCATTTATTCACCCTAATTTAAGTTTTCGCGTGCCGGTAATACATTTTAACGTTTTTAGAAGGTCTCTTTCTATAAGTCTTTAATATATAACTAAACTATAGTTGTATGTAAAGTAAATAAGGTTTTTAAAATGTTTAAGAAGCTTCATTTAAAATTAAATTAAAATGCAGAGCCCCCCGGACTGGTGGCCAGCACCTGGGTAGTGTGAGTGCCACTGAAAATCAGCTTGAGTCCGCCTTCGGCATGCGTGCCATAGGTTGCCTACCCCTGACCTAGAGCCTACTACTTTGTCAGTTGGAGTTTTGCCATAGATGGGAGCAGGATCAAATCCATAATATTAGAAAATGTGACAGACTTTTTGATTTGAACATATCTCTGCAGTGAATAGTCCTCTGGTAATAGACTAGTTGTGTCTGCTGGCATCACTGCAATTAGGGCTATGTGAGTTCCTCCATATAAGTATTCAGAGTAGCAGCCATGTTAGTCTGTATTCGCAAAAAGAAAAGGAGTACTTGTGGCACCTTAGAGACTAACAAATTTATTTGAGCATAAGCTTTCGTGAGCTACAGCATCTGATGAAGTGAGCTGTAGCTTACAAAAGCTTATGCTCAAATAAATTTGTTAGTCTCTAAGGTGCCACAAGTACTCCTTTTCTTTTTGCATGTAAGTCTTGTTATGTATACACAATTGTTCTTCTGACTGAAGATTTAGCCCACAAGCCCCAGCCCAGATGTGAATATTTTTGTAAATTAAAAAAATAGAATAATATTTGCCTATTTTTTATTTTGAAAAATACCCCACCCAGATTAGGTGATTGGGTCAAGAAACATCCCTATAACTTATTTTAGCCTCAAATATATAGTTCTTTGTTGAGTAACTACACATGTCCATTCCACTATAGGTGTATGTGTGTGCCTTGTGCACAGGTGTCGGAGACTTTTCCCTTAGCAGTACCCTTTGGGGCAGCACAAGCACCATCTTGTGCCACTGCACACAAGTATAAAGGGCCATGCTGCTCCCGACTGCCATCGGGTCCTTCCTACCACCAGCGACAGTTGTTGCTGGAGCTGTGATCTTTGCTTCTTCATATCTTCCCTTCCTTAGCGTAAATAGTAGCTGGAGCATTAGTTTTTAGTCTTGTATATAGTATATCTGTAAATAGTTACTTGTAGGGTTAAGTTTAGAATACCGTCTTACAGGGTTACTGGTGCCAGGTTGGGTACTGGGATTGGTACCGAACTGGTGCCCCATTCTCCTGGATTCAAGGCCTGTCGTTCATGTAGTCAGGTCTATGCCGTTAACTGACCCACTCCCAAGCTGCCTCAAGTGTCTGGGACAGGTGCATGTAAGTGACAAGTGTCACATCTGTAGACGGATCGAAAGCCATTCAAAAAAGGACAGGGCTGCCAGACTCAAGTACCTGCTTTTGGAGTCTGCACTTCACCCTGGAATCCTTCTGCTCTGAACAGGTAGCGAGCACGTCTGAGTCTGTTAGGAGTGCTCCTCCTGTTCTGGCAGAGTCCTAAGGCAGATCTGCATCCCCGGTGCCTAGGGAGACACTGCGTATGTCTCCCAGGGACTTGGTACCAGGACCCTCTGAGAGGAAATTGCCGAGTGTTTGCAAGGACTTGGAGGGGAGCTCAAAAAAGTCACAACCCCAGGAGCAGTTTGTGAGTGAGAAGGTATTGCTGACTCTGGAATGCAGGAAGGGTCCGTTGAGACCAATCCCTGAAAGATCGGTGTACCTCTTGGTACCGCAGACTCAGGAGCCCTTTCTGATGTCACTGACAAGTTGCATAATTTGTCAGTACTGGCTTCTCTCACGATTCAAAAGCCTTGCAAGAGCACCGTTTTTGGAACTACACGCTCCTATAGTCCTGGCTTCAGCTCCAGAGCACTGCTCGGTACTGACCATTTCTATACTTGTGATATCCCTATGGAGAACTGTGTCTGGGCAAGCCAGTGATGATTTCTCCAATACCCCCTTCTCCAGCCTTGGAATCTCTCTCCCGACCTGAGGATGCCCAGCAGCCCCAGTGGGGTGCCTGCCCATTGTGGTACCATCCACCGACTCAATATTCTATGACTCAGTGGCCTACACAGGGCTGGGCCCCACCTCTGTACCAATGGTTCTTTTGAACCCCTTGAGACTTCCCTCCATGTTTCAGAAACTCTCTGCTCCCTTCCTGCACTTCTTCATCAGCTAGGCACAGCTCAGGAGCATCTGCAGGCAGGTCTCCATTTTCCTTCCCCTGGAATTAGGATTGGTACCGAGCAGGCAGAGCCGTGTGCCCAGGACTCCACTGTAGAAGAATTGGAGGAGGGACCTCCTCAGCAACCTTTAGCCTCTTCTTCTTTGTCACCTGATGAGGCAGTAGTGGCTGAATCTACGTCTCCCCCCCACCCCCACGATGATTTTAGAGCTCATCAAGACTTGTTGAGGAAGGTGGCTGCAGCTCTGGATATCCAACCAGAAGAGGTACAAGATCACACAGGCTTGTGGACATTTTAGCATCTGCAGGACCCTTCTCTCCCTATTAATGAGGCTACCGATTGACCGATGTTGCACCTCTGAAAAAAGTGATGGCTGACTTGATGCAGTTGCAGGCGGCTTCTGTGGCTTTTCTGGCTAGGCTTCCCATTCTGGATATTTGTAGGGTGACAACTTGGTCATCGCTCCATATGTTTGCCTCTCATATGCTATCTCTCATCAATCCAGAGAAGATGCACGATTCAGAGTAGTTGTCCTTCAGTCCTTGTTCAAGTAGACTCTGAGCCCACCACTGAGTTCAAATTGCTTGTGAGTCATCTGTAATGGAATGGAAATGTGCAGTCACTCAAAGAAGAAAAAACGATTACCTACCTTTCCGAACTGTCGTTCTTCAAGATGTGTTGCATATGTCCTTTCCACGACCCGCCTCTTTCCTCTCTCTATCAGAGTCTTTCTAGTAGGAACTGAGGGGGGTCAGGCAGTGCTGCCCTTTGTATCTGTGTGCAGTAGCACGGGACACCAGAGGGCGCTCACGCTGCCCCCAAAGATACTGCTAAGGGAAAAAAATCTCTGACAACTGTGCACAAGGTACACACAAACACCTACAGTGGAATGGGCATGCGCAACACATCCTGAAGAACAGTTACAGAAAGGTAATTAACTTTTTTTTTTTTTTTGAAGCCTCTCTCTCTGGCAAGCCTGGTAGCACATGCTGTCTTATGTTTAGAGATGATCTCAAGTTGGCTCTAGTGTGAAAGGCTCTTGGCTGATTTAAAAAATATGTATACAAATTTGAGCATCTTTTTTTGTTTATAATAGGTTACTGAATTACAGCATAATAATGAAAACTGACTTGTAATATTACTTCCTCAGCCTGCAACTGTCATGGACATGCTACTGATTGCTACTATGATTCTGATGTTGATCGACGCAAAGGAAGCTTAAACGTCCGTGGGTGGTATGAAGGTGGAGGGGTCTGCATTGATTGCCAGGTAATAAGGTGCTTTGATCTCATAGGTTATGCATGAATGGGACTTGGAAAGTGTATCTAGAAGACTTACTTTTCTCAGGCTGACATTTTTGAGATGGCCATTTTGAATAGTACCATTACAATGACATAATCGCTCATGCTCCAGCCAGGAAGAAAAGTCACTGAAAGTAATTCATGTTCTGTGAGGCCAGAAAAGGGATCACCTAATTACAACGATCACACTTTTAAAGAGAACCCACTGTTGCAGTTCCCTACTTCAGTAGTTACAGCAGATTGGATGAAGAGGGGATCTCTCACTGCACCAGCCAAGGAGGAGAGGGAGTTGTGTGGCAGCAGTGCTCCTCCAAGCAAGGGAGAGGAGAGGGAAGGAGCTCTCCCTTTGCTGTAGTTGAAGAGGGAAAGCTGGGTCTCCCCCAGTTCCCTTTACTATAATTCCTGCATTCTTTTAAAAAGGGTTAGAGACAGACACCATGAAGTCCACTAGAGACTTTGCTATTGCCAATCTATTTTATGTGGAAGGCACTCAGATATTATAGTGATGAAGAGTGGTAAAAACCCCTAAGATAGATGGATAGATGATGACCCCTGCTTCCAACCAAGGCCTGTTCCCTCTCTCATCCCACTGTTGTTTTTCTCATTCAAGCCATTGGAACTTGTTTACTAATTTATAAATCACACCTGCTTGGACCAAAATGCAGTCACACAATTTAAGAACAACAATGACACAGAATCAAGAAAATGATGCACGCTGTACATGTAAGAAGTATAGTTGTGCTGTCAAAAATTAAGGAAGAAGGAAAGGAAGTGTGCAGTGCAACTATAGTTTGAGTATTTTTTTCCATCTTATTGCTAAAATAAAATCAGTTATTGCCCAAAAGGCAGTCAGAAGTAAATAAAAGTTCTTTTTATTAAAGAGAGGAAGAAGAGATCTTTGTCTTTCACTTAACATTTCTATGTAGGGCTTTGTTCAACCAATGCTATAAGATTTGTCATATTGGTGCTTCCTGTTAGCTCTTTATTCGTGAAAGATCATGTTTCCTAAATTGCTCCCAGTATATAAAAGAGCAAACCTGACCTAAATCCATGAGGCCTGCAACTGATAATTGTCTGTAATTCGATTTTGTGGAAATTAAATTGCATTAAATGAATTAACCATGAAATCTAATTATAACATTTTCTTCATAAATAAGGCACATGGATTTTACTTTACTTTTTCCATTTGTGTCATGGAAAAAAGTGTTGGAAATGCATGCCTGAATGAAGAACTAATAGAACCTGATGCATGACACATATAGTTAGATCCTGTTTCTTTCAGGTCTGACAACAGTGCCCCATATATTCTGTATTATATATCTGCGTCCGACAATATATTGCTGTTACATAGATTTAGCTAACGAGAGAGAACTGTGCTTTCCATTTCCCCTTTACATAAACCCCTATGTTGCTTTGAAAGGGAAAAGAGACAGAGATACCCTGAAGTCCACTAGGGACTTTACCCTATGACGCAAGAAATTTGTTGTAATTCAAATTCATGAACAGTATGTTTTCTGTGAGTGTAAGACACGTTAAGATGTTTAAAAAGCTGTCTCCTCTACTTACAGAAACTTTATTTTGTGCTTTTAATTTTATTTCTAGACTGATAGTTTTGCTTTCATTTGAAGTTTCTAATCTTAGTTGGAGAGTAATTTAGTCACAAAAATGTATCTTTCAATATGGAAACAGCATGATGCTGTTGCAGTCAAACTATATATATATGTGTGTGTGTAATGATAAAAAGGCAAAATGAAAAGAAAGTTAAAGAAATATCTGGTAATAGTATAAAGATGACAGTACTTTTCCCCTGATTTAAATGAGCAGAAGGTTGATTTAGGGACTTTGTGCAATGTTTAAAATGTACTAATTGTTAAAAATTCCATGTGTTTATGTGAAATTACCCTGATTCATAATATCATGCAAAGATCAGAGAGGTAAAGAACAAGAATAAAATGCACTCTTTATTGCAGTCTTGTTAGATTTCTTCCCATATGGATCCTGACTGTATATAATAGGAACCTAAATTACAATCTTTCAGTCCTGTATTTGCTTATGTATCCTTCTGCTTGTTTTTCCTTTCTCATGTTATATTTTTCTCTTACTTCATTCTGCATAGCATAACACAGCTGGAATTAACTGTGAACAATGTGCAGAGGGGTACTATCGTCCTTATGGCATTCCAGTGGGAGCTGCTGACGGCTGTATACGTAAGTCTCTCTCTGTTTGGTTATATCTCACACTGGTATTTCCTATCAATCAGGGAAAGGGCTTTGTTATTTGGGATAAAATTTTCTAAAGTGCCTAAGTGATTAAGTCCCATTGACTTTTAGTGAGACTCCTACTGTGAGGCAGTTGCAGTAGTTCAAAGACAAAGGCATGGACGAAGACTTCTGCACAGGTGGAGGAGAGGCAGTGGCATGCAAACACCAATGTTGTCTGGAGGTGATGATAGGAAGATATGCAGAAAAATACAGCTCTGAGTTTAGGGATTTGTAAATAATAATACTTACCTATCTCCCAGGGTTAATTAATTTATTCAGCACTTTGAAGATGTGAAGTAATATGTAATTGTTAATTTGTAGCATTATTTAAATAATGATTAATTCACAAGTACAATTGAAACTTCTATAGTGTGACAAAGTTCCTCCTCTGCCTTCGTGGGTTCTGCGCTTTCTGGCGGATTTGCTCGCCTCAGAGGTTCACAGCAGTCCTCAGTTTGGCTCCTTTTGTTAGTGGCACAAACCTGCCATTCACTCAGCTAACCTCATCACTGGCCAGCCTGGGGAAAAGGAGGAGAACAATCCCCGCAGTTTCTGCTGGCCCACCTAATGGGTCGGGGGACAGGCCAGAGACCTTCCCCTCTGGTGGGACCCACAGTCCAGGTCAACTCCTCTTATATCAAATAGGGAGTTGGGGGGAACCCGGACCCACCCTCTGCTCTGGGTTTCAGCTCAGGGCCCTGTGGATTGCAGCTGTCTACAGTGTCTCCTGTAACAGCTGTGCGACAGCTACAACTCCTTGGGCTACTTCCCCATGGCCTCCTCCCAACACCTTCTTTGTCCTCACCACAGGACCTTCCTCCTGATGTCTGATAACGCTAGTACTTCTCAGTCCTCCAGCAGTACACCTACTCACTACTCAGCTTCTTGCACGCCACTTGCTCCCAGCTCCTCGCATGCATCTCACTACCTGAAGTGAGGTCCTTTTTAAAACCAGGTGCCCTGATTAGCCTGCCTGTCCGTATTGATTCTGGTAGCTTCTTAATTGGCTCCAGGTGTCCTAATTAGCCTGCCTTAATTGGTTCCAGCAACTTCCTGATTGTTCTGCAACAGTCCATTATCTTACTCAGGGGAAAGGGACCTGCTTAATCTGGGGCTAATATATCTAACTTCTGTCACTCTCCTGTAGCCATCTGGCCTGACCCTGTCACAACAGTTACAATGTTATGTTTCTTTGCCAAAGCAACAAATCAGTTAATTTGAAGAAAGCATTTAACTGTTGTTATTTATTTAGCCTGCAGTTGTAATCAGGAGCATTCAGATGGTTGTGAGGAAGGATCTGGTCGCTGTCATTGTAAGGTGAATTTCCATGGCGAAAACTGTGAACAATGTGCTGAAGGATACTATAGTTTCCCATTCTGTGTCCGTAAGTATTGAAGTGAGACGTATCTCTGTTTCACAGGCTTCTAGTCATTTTAATAAGCATCTATATTATAAGTCATTATACATTACACTGCACGTATATAAAACAGTCATCATTTCATACTCTCAAATATATACAGACTTTAATAAATTATCACAATACGCAGGTGAGACAAATAAGTATTATTATCCCTGTTGTACACAATGGATAAGAACAGAAGTTAAGCTAGAAATCAGAGATTTAGCTACATTCCCAGATTTTGACATTCATTTAAGATACTTTTGAAGTGGATAGAGCCCAAGTCTTGAAGCCAGGAACTCATGAGTTCTAATATCGGCTCTGCCATGGAGAAATTGCAAGGTCTTGAGGAAGTCATTTAACTGTGGTTGAGTTTCTCTAGCTATAAAATGGGGATTTTAACTCACCTGAATTGGTACCGGAAGTAGAACATGACTCTTGTAAGAGAAAGGGGACAGCTTGCCAGGCATTCTCCTTGAGAACCCCATAGTTTTAACACTTACCCCCCATAGTCCAAAATAGCCTTAGTTTGTTAACTTTCTAGGGATTTTGCAGGGCCTGTATATTGGGAAGGCTCTAGTGGGAAATTGTGAAGATCTTAAATATATCTTTTCCTGCTAGGTTTTTGCTGATACACTGATTAATAGTTAAAGGATGGGTTACAGGAGTGGTTTATGTCATACCTGTATATTTAAGAATTGTCAGAAGGTGATTGGTGCAAGGTTGTGTGTATAGTGAAAATAAAATAAATACATTAATTAAAAATGATGTGGCATGGAAGCATCCGAGTATGTAGAATTTGCCCCTATTCAAAATTGCAGCTAAACCGTGTCTAGATGCATTGTTTTAAAAAAAATAGGCTGTTACTTTAAAGTGGAGTGTTTACTGTTGCAATAAACAAGAGCAGTGCACCCCAAAAGCCTCTCTCAAGAACAAATTAAATATAATCCAGAAAAAAGTAACAGCACCAGAATTGTGTTTACTGCATAAAAAAGCAATGGCACTAGGAGCGGATTTCAAAAAAGTTGACCCACTGGAAATGTTTCTAGCCCAAAGGAGAATTGTGTTTCTCGTGGGTGATTACATATTGCCCTGGATCAGCGATTTTGGGCTTGGTTCACCACTGTGATATTCCAGGTTATGTTGTAAAATTGGACCTATGTGCACAATACAGTAGAAAGAGAAATGTCAGAAATTGAATGCTGGTGGAGGCCAGTTTCTGCAACGCAGTATATCTTCCCAATACATTGCAACTTAGATTATCCAAAGCTCACTTTGTAGGGTCATGTGCCCTGATTTAAGGGGCGCTCATCTCTGGGGCATCTCTGAGTGGCTGGGTGGGGTACCATAGTCCTTTTCTTGCCCTTAGTGCCCCCTGCAGCCTGTTGGACAACTTTGGTAGGTGTTTAGTGGCTTGACCCTCTGGCCAAGTCACAAAGTCCAAATGAACCCCTTCTGGGGTATTAAAGAGTCCAATAAATGGTCTCTTTGCCCTTGCTGGGGTCTTCAGCAGTGGCTCTGAGCTTTTTAAATTCAGCCTTTTGTTCAGGTTTCCAAATAAGCCCTGTCCCCTACTTGAGGTATACACCACTTTTACCTGTAACTGGTGGGGGAACTTGGGCCCACCTGCTACTCTAGTTTTCAACCCAGGGACTCTACACACAGCAACTGTACAGTGCTCAACTTTAACCCTTCCCTGCTGTTTCCCTAGGCCTCTTCCTACCAGGCCCTTTGATCACCAGGCCAGTGTCCTCAGGTCCTTCTCCCCCTGAATCCCCGCTGTAAACTCTGTCTGATTGTCAGGCTCCTTTGGCCAGAGAGGAGCACGTAGGCTGACCAGATAGCAAGTGTGAAAAATTGAGATGGGGGTGGGGGATAATAGGAGCCTATATAAGAAAAAGCCCCAAATATCGGGACTGTCCCTATAAAATCGGGACATCTGGTCACCCTAGGAGCACCCTTCTTTACTCCGCTGATCCCAATTGAACTGCTAAGGCCTGGTTGCTCCTTTTATCTGGGCCAACAGGACATGATAGGCTGTTGCTAGCCCTTCTAGCCCATGGAGGACCTGGTCTCTGTGGTTTCCAAAATGGCTGCTCCAGAGAGTCCTCTCTAGGCAAGCTGGAGGACCCACTTTCACAGCTCTTTTCCTCTCAACTCACTGCTTCTTGGGGCAGGGAGTAGTAGTACTGAAAGGCCCCCAGCAAGGAATCGCAAGGGCCAAATACACCCCATCAGAGTGCTGCTCAGATGGAGCCTAATCCAAAGCCCACTGAAGTCTATGGAAGTCTTTCCATGGGCTTTGAGTCAGGTCCATAATCAAAGCTGGCAGAGGAGAATCTTGTCAGGGCATATCTCCCTTTGCTTACCTGGTGGATTTCCAAATGGAAATCTGCCCAGGAGTTATTGCAAGCACCATTGTTAACTCCATCTCTTCAGAACAGGGCAGAGTAGAGGACAGGAACAGAAGACAGAATTAGTGGCTGCACAGCTCCCAAATCAGTAGCATTGAAAACAGCATCTCTACCCAGTGAATGGTATCAGAAACCCCTCTGCAAAAGGAGGGGGAACAGGAAGGTACCATGTAGATTTTCCAGCTGACGGTTGGTCTCCCATAGTTGTCCCCTCTCAAGGAATAATCAGTCCCTGGTTTGGATTTGAATTGGGAACATGGAGGTGAAGGGTTCCAAGTCTTGTTATTACCAGTTCCCTATTGTCAGTTCCTTGAAAACAAATATAAAAACTGAACATGGTTACTGCTGTCATATAAATACCGTATATTATTTATGATAGAATCATAGAATACTACGGTTGGAAGGGACCTCAGGAGGTCATCTAGTCCAACCCCTGCTCAAAGCAGGACGAATCCGCAATTTTTGCCCCAGATCCCAAATGGCCCCCTCAAGGATTGAACTCACAACCCTGGAAAGCACATGAGTTTTATGGCATGATCTTAAGTGAAAGAAATCTAGGATCTTATTTGTAACCAATATTCCTAATAGCGTTTTTTATTTTAAAGGACTTCCTATTTATCCTTTTACTACTCCAAATCCAGAATACCCTGAGACTGGTGGTATTAAAGGCAAGTTCTTTCTTTTTCTTTCTTTTTGGTGTTGTTTCAGAAATGTTTGTTCTTGTTATGTTGTCATGTTCGGTGCTATTGCAGTAATGTCTTTTTCAGTATTTGTCAGTGGGGGAGGTTTAGATTGGATATTAGGAAAAACTTTTTCACTAAGAGGGTGGTGAAACACTGGAATGCGTTACCTAGGGAGGTGGTAGAATCTCCTTCCTTAGAGGTTTTTAAGGTCAGGCTTGACAGAGCCCTGGCTGGGATGATTTAACTGGGAATTGGTCCTGCTTTGAGCAGGGGGTTGGACTAGATGACCTTCTGGGGTCCCTTCCAACCCTGATATTCTATGATTCTATGATTCTTCTTACCAGAAACTTAACATATATTCATGCTTATATTAAACAATTTAATGTGCTGACCCCAGAATGAAAGATGGGTAAAAATAAGTTCAGCTGGCTGAAGGCAAATACCTGCAGAAGAAGCTGACCTTTTTGCTTGACACCATCATAAACTGATCCATTTTAGGATTCTCTGATATATGAACAGCTTGTCAACTGTCTGACAGTGAAAAATCTCTTCCTTAAGGCTACCTGACCTCTACTTCTGGTCTCTCCTGCACCTGACAAATACTGTATAATGCCCTTGGCAATGCAGCACTTTGATTTTGTAACGGCTACATGTTTCTTATTTAAAGGCCAATGCAAAACCAGTTGAAATCCATTGAAAGATTCCATTCAATTCAAGGCACTTTGCAGTAAGCCCACACTTAAGTGTATACTTTCACATTGCAGAACACTACAAATGTGACTCAAGTAAATAAGTATTTAAACTGCATTTTGCTGCTGATAATTTAAAAAATTTAGCACCCTTTTTAAGATCCTAGAAAATGTAATATCTGCTTAATATTCAGTAACGTTCGCTGAGTTGCTGTTGATGTTTGTGCTGACAAAAGGGCTTTCATCTGTTGAACTAGTGAAATCTTTCACATATAATCAGAGAAACATAAATCCATTTCCATGTTTACAGATCCTAGTTGTTTTCCTGAAAATATCTGTAGAGTGCTAGATTCCTCTGTGTTCACCCAAAAGCCTGTTCATTTAGAGCCAGTCATCTCCTCTGGGAGGAATGACACTAGATGTGTGACCTCAAACATAGTTTCCTTGACAGACCTAGGGCTCAGAATTATGGCTTTCTGCAGAAACCTGCATAGTCCTGTGGGTAAATGCTTCTCATTCATATTTCTAAAATGAAAAGAATAGCAAAGAGTGATAACTAAGTGAATAAATCTATATGGGAAGAAACAGAACTACAGCTGCTCAAGTTTTAGCCAGTAGCACCAAAGTTTGAGGCATGAGAGAGAGAGACTTGTATCTTGATGGGTGCTCCTATGGTTATACAAATTGTAAATTTGTATCCCTGTCAACATTGTTTATAAAGGAATTTGGCAGAAAAATATGTGATTGTTCACGTTTTGAAAATGGGATTTGTGTGCGAGTGGCATGTAAGTAATTGTATTAGTTACAGAGTAATAGCACTGTTTTTTAACCAGGATTAACCCTGCGTCTGTTATGCTGCACAAAAATGTAAAGGGTTTTTATAGGTTTGTGCTACAGCTTTGTTCAGCTCTTTCTTTCTTCTGTTTATGTTTGAAGATGGCTGTAAACCAGGATTTTTTGGCCCTCAATGCCAGCGTAAGTTCCATAGTTGTTTTTTTTACAGTTTGAACCCAAATTATATACAAATGCCAACATTTTAAATCCAAGTGTAATGTGAACTTCAAGACTATAACACAGAAAATGTTTCCTTTTACAAAATGTGCTGTTTAGCTTGCCAGTGCTATGGCTCGGGAGTGCTGGATGGCAACTGTGATGGAAAGACAGGACAGTGCAGATGTCGAGTTGGATTTCAGGGGCTTTCCTGTGATGCCTGTGCAGTAGGGTATTTTCAATACCCTTTCTGTCAGAGTAAGCAACAATACTCTCTCTATAAATAAGACCCTGATCCTGTGGATGCATCCTTGTTCTATGTAGAGTTCAGGGGGAGTAAGGGTCATGTCCTTTTTGCAGGACTGAGACTTTAGTAAGTGATTCAGCATAGAGTGATAGGAAGCAAAAAGTGAAAAAGGTCCAGAAGAGGGTTTTTCCCCCATAAATCATACAGGTACCTTCAACTTATTGACTATTATCTAATGCATGATGCATCTATCAGATTCTGATTTGACTATGGATTTAATAATATGTGATTGATGACAGTTTAACGAAAACGGAAAAAATTCCGTTACCTTGGTTTTACAAAACCTTAATTTTGGGCCTAGTTTGACTTGACAATGCCCCTTTGATGTGTCAAGCTACGACTGCTACAGTCAGTGATAGAAAGCTGTTCGTTTTTTTAAAATACTTTTACTATTCACCTACATCCTGGTGTTGGTAATAGTCTATAGAGAATTTTAAAAATGTATTTCAGTAGTCCCACTCCAAACTGAGATAATAAAACCAGACCACTGTTTACTTCACAAGTAGTCTTGAAAACAGTGGAACTATTCCCAGTGTAGAGTACTGCCCCATCTGGCCCAGAATGAGAACAGGATGGTACTTCCTTGACACTGACATTTGGGCCAGATTCTGCCATGCTTACTCACACTGATTAATACCTTTCTTCACAAATAATCACTTCTAAATCCATAGAGCTAATCAACAGCATAAGGATGGCAGAATCTAGCCCTTTATACTGGAGATTAGCAAGAAGGGAATGTTTTTAGGAAGGAGGAAGAGGAATATCTCTGCAGTGGCTGCTTCTAAAATTTGCTTCTTGTTTGTAGTGTGTGCATGTAATTCAGCTGGTGCCCTCCCTGAAATCTGTGATTTCCTTGGAAAATGTCTCTGCCGCTTTGAGGTAGATGGACGTCAGTGTGAGAGCTGTCTTCCTGGCTACCATTCTTTCCCCATCTGTCAAGGTAAGATTGCAGGTGATACGTATAGAATTGAACTGACCACTGAGAGTCTGGACTGGAATGACCGTACTTTAAGATTCTCTGTTTGCATTGACTGGGGCAGTATTCATTATTGTAAATAGGTAAGATTCTCTTACATTCTGTATGGTGAAAGTTCAGAGTTTCCCCTTGTCCTTTCACTGCTCTTGACTATTTAGAACACTAACTGCAGGCAAGCCTCGGAATCTAGTTATTAGATCTTATTTTTATATTTCTCTGTTTCATAGACAGATTGAACCCTGTAGTGGAGGTCAACAATCCGCTCAAATGCTCTTTTTAAAAATAAAAGGCTATGAAAACTCTTTTCACATAGATGTTTACAGCACTAGTAGTATCATTGACATCGGAAGAAATGAAGTATACAAAGATGTGCTATGAAGGATTTGTTTGTTTTTGAAGGGGGTATTTGCTAGCAAGAGCACTTACATCCTTATAAGCTTTCTGTTTTGTAAAATGTACAAAGAAGTTGCTTTTTATTTTGTAAATAAGAATCCATTTTCCCTTTGTCAGTCATTCCATGTGTATTTTGAGAGCAAATGAAAGACCCCGGACCAGTCTCTGTTGTCTTATTTCTGTCATGAAAGCCCATCAACGTCATTGGAGTTGCACAGTTGTTTTTGAGGGAAGAATATGGCCCACATATCCAACTCCCACACCCTACGTTACTGCCCTGATGCAGAGAGCGGGTACTGATCAGTACTCATGGACTATAAGCTTATACATAAAAACAGCTATACTGGGTCATACCAAGGTCCATCTAGCCCAGTATCCTGTCTTCTGACAGTGGCCAGTGCCAGGTGCTTCAGAGGGAATGAACAGAACAGGTAATCATCAAGTGATCCATTCACTGTCACCCATTCCCAGCTTCTGGCAAACAGAGGCTAGGGATACCATCCCTGCCCATCCTGGCTAATAGCCATTGATGGACCTATCCTCCATAAATTTATCTAGGTCTTTTTTGAACCCTGTTGTAGTCTTGACCTTCACAACATCCTCTGGCAAAGTGTTCTACAGGTTGACTGTGCGTTGTGTGAAGAAATACTTCTTTTTGTTTGTTTTAAACCTGCTGTCTATTAATTTCATTTGGTGACCCCTAGTTCTTGTATTATGAGAAGGAGTAAATAACAATTCCTTATTTACATTCTTCACACCAGTCATGATTTTATAGACCTCTGTTATGTTCCCCCAAGTCTTCTCTTTTCCAAGCTGAAAAGTCCCAGTCTTATTAATCTCTCCTCACATGGAAGCTGTTCCATCCCCTAATAATTTTTGTTACCCTTTTCTCTACCTTTTCCAATTCCAATATATCTTTTTTGGGATGGGGCGACCACATCTGCATGCAGTATTCAAGATGTGGGCGTACCATGGATTTATATAGAGGCAATATGATATTTTCTGTTTTATTATTTATCCCTTTCCTAATGAGTCCCAATATGCTGTTAGCTTTTTTGACTGCCTCTGCACATTGAGTGGATGTTTTCCGAGAAGTATCCACAGTGACTTCAAGATCTCTTTCTTGAGTGGTGACAGCTAATTTATATCCCATCATTTTATATGTATAGTTGGGATTATGTTTTCCAATGTACATTACTTTGCATTTATCAACATTGAATTTCATCTACCATTTTGTTGTCCAGTCACCCAGTTTTGTGAGATCCCTTTGTAACTCTTCACAGTCTGCTTTGGACTTAACTATCTTGAGTAGTTTTGTATCATCTGCAAATTTTGCCACCTCACTGTTTACCCCTTTTTCAGATCATTTATGAATATGTTGAAAAGGACTGGTCCCAGTACAGACACCACTGGTTACCTCTCTGAGGGACACCACTGGTTACCTCTCTCTATTTTGAAAACTGACCATTTATTCCTGCTCTTTGTTTCCTATCTTTTAACCAGTTACTGATCCATGAGAGGATCTTCCTTCTTATCCCATGACAGTTTACTTTGCTTAAGAGCCTTTGTTGAGGGACCTTGTCAAAGGCTTTCTGAAAAGCTAAGTACACTATATCCACTGGATCCCCCTTGTCCACATGTTTGCTGACCACCTCAAGAATTCTAGCAGATTTGTGAGGCATGATTTCCATTTACAAAAACTATGTTGACTCTTCCCCAACAAATTATATTCATCTATGTGTCTGATAATTCTGTTCTTTACTATAGTTTCAACCAGTTTGCCCGGTACTGAAGTCAGGCTTACTGGCCTATAATTGCCGGAATCTCCTCTGGAACCTTTTTTAAAAATTGGTGTCACATTAGCTGTCCTTCAGTCATCTGGTACAGAAGCTGATTTAAATGACAGGTTACATACTACAGTTAGTAGTTCTGCAGTTTCACATTTGAGTTCCTTCAGAACTCTTGGGTGAATACCGTCTGGTCCTGGTGACTTATTACTGTTTAATTTATCAATTTGGTCCAAAACTTCCTCTAATGACACCTCAATCTGGGACTGTTCCTCAGATTTGTCACCTAAAAAGAATGCCTCACATCCTCAGCCATGAAGACCGATGCAAAGAATTAATTTAGTTTCTCCACAATGACCTTATCATCCTTGAATGCTTGTTTAGCATCTCGATCATCCAGTAGATCCATTGGTTGTTTAGTAGGGTTCCTTCTGATGTGCTTACAATTTTTTTTGCTATTACTTTTTGAGTCTTTGGCTAGCTGTCTTCAAATTCTTTTTTAGCCTTCCTAATTATACTTTTAATACTTAATTTGCCAGAGTTTATGCTCCTTTCTATTTTCCTCACTAGGATTTAACTTCCACTTTTTAAAGGATTCCTTTTTGCCTCTCACTGCTTCTTTTATTTTGTTGTTTGGTCACAGTCACACTTTTTTGGTCCTGTTACTATGTTTTTTTAATTTGGGGTGTACATTTAGTCTGAGCCTCTATTTTGGTGTCTTTAAAATGTTTCTGTGCACCTTGGAGGGATTTCACTTTTGGCATTGTACCCCTAATTTTTGTTTAACTAACTTCCTCATTTTTGTGTACTTCCCCTTTCTGAAATTAAATGCTACCATCGTGGGCTGCTGTGAGGGTATTTTCCGCACCACAGGGATGTTAAATTTAATTATATAATGGTCATTATTACCAAGCAGTAGAGGTATATTCATCTCTTGGACCAGATCCTGTGCTCCACTTCGGACTGAATCAAGAATTCCCCCAGCCCTTAGTTTAAAAACTGCTCTACCACCCTTTAAATTTTAAGTGCCAGCAGTCTGGTTCTATATTGGTTTAGGTGGAGCCCCTCCTTCCTGCCTAGGCTCCCTCTTTCCCAAAAGTTTCCCCAGTTCCTAATAAATCTAGACCCCTCCTCCCTACACCATCGTCTCATCCATGCATTGAGACTCTGCAGTTTGGCCTGTCTAACTGGCCCTGCGTGGGAACTGGAAGCATTTGAGAGAATGCTACCATAGAGGTCCTGGGCTTCAATCTCATACCCAGCAGCCTAAATTTGTCTTCTGGGACCTCTCCCCTAACCTTCCTTATGTCATTAGTACCTACATGTACCACGACCACCGGCTTCTCCCTAGCACTACACCTAAGTCTGTCTAGATGTCTCGAGAGATCTACAACCTTTGTACCCAGCGGGCAAGTCACTATGCGGTTCTCGTGGTCATCACAAACCCAGCTATCTATGTATCAAATGATCGAATCCCCCATTACTATTACTGTTCCTAATAACTGGAGTTCCCTCCCCTGGAGAGGTATCCTCAGTGAGAGAGGATACCATAGAACAGGGGTCTCAAACACGTGGCCCGCGGGGTCATTTCCTGTGGCCTGCTAAGCTCCCCTCCCCCCAGCGTGCTGCATCCCCACTCCTCTGCCTACCTCCAGGTGCTGTTTGGCGGTGCTTAGCGCTTTCCAGGAGGGAGGAGCGGGAAGCCTCGCGCTTAGGAGAGGAGGCAGAGAAGAGGCAGGGATTTGTGGAAAGGGTTGGAATAGGGGCAGGGAGGGGGTGGAGTTGGGGTGGGGACTTTGGGGAAGGGGTGGGGCAGGGCCACATGGAAGGGGTGGAGTGGAGGTAGGGCCGGGGGCAGCGGGGGAGAGGGGAATGTCAGTGATGTGGCCCTCAGGCCAATGTACTAGTCCTCATGTTGCCCTCCTGGTGATTCAAATTTGAGATTCCCTGCCATAGAATCATCTGGAAAGAGGGTCCCAACTATGGGATCATTTCCCTGTGCTCCAGTTTAATGCTTTCCTTCCCTGAGACTTACATCCTCCTCAACTGCACAGGGGCTGTCAGACTGAGGATGGGACCATTCTACTGTGTCCCAGAAAGTCTCATCTATGTACCTCTCTTTTCCCCTTAGCTCCTCCAGTTCAGCCACTCTGGTCTCCAAAGCCCATATGTAGTCTCTGGGGGCCAGGCTCTCCTTGCACAGAATGTACACTTATGCCACTTGGCCATAAGGCAGGTAGTCATACATGCTGCATTCAATGCAATAAATTGGATAGCCCCCATCCTGCTGCTGGACTTCTGTCTGCATTATCTTTTTACTCCTGCATCTCTTTCAATTATTGTTATGTTTTTATCAGGGGGTGTTTATTGCCTTAAGCTTAGGGAATGTTAATGAAGAGTATCTAGCCCCCCCCCTTCTAAACTCTCTTGCAAAACTCCCCTGTAACTATTTGTGTCTGTACAAGAAAGCAGTCAAGTCTCTTTTTGTCACCAGTTTGTGTTAGAGAGTGCCTGCTTCAGGCAAGATGTCTCTATATTGTTTAGTGTGTGAAGTTGTTAATTCAGGATTTAAGTGGCAGAGGCCCTCAGCACTGAGGTGAATTTCACCCAGTGAGAGAAAAGGTGAGGTCTCATGTCACAGTAAGTTTTGATGTATGCTTGTGTACACACATGAACATGTTGCATATAGAAAGATACAGGAGAATTTGCTTCTTTGTTGTTGTTTCATTGTGATGTTACCCAGGGTACAGTCTGGACTGTTGAACAGCTCTGTCCCCTCAACTCTCCAACCTGGGGTGCCTTTTACACTGCTTTGCTGTCAGAACAACCATTCCTGATCTGTTCACACACAGCCTGCAGCATGCAAAATCACTCCCAGCTATGTTGCATGAATGCTCTAGCCAGTCACGCCTGAGTTATATTGCAGAGGGACACCAGCAAATTCCCAGTTCCAGACTTGTCCTCAGATATGTGTGTCTTGTACTGCCTAGCAGTTTCCTTCTGGACAATACAAGCTCGTAGAAAGTTCATCATTTCAATAATAGAAAATTATATGCACAAACCCTGTTATCTCAAATGGAGGTTCCCAAGCATTTCATTCCATACACACTAGTTTCGATAAAATAAGTTTATTAACTACAGAAAGAAAAATTTGAACTGATTACAAGTAATCAGGCATAAAAGTAAAAATTGGTTACAAAGAAAATAAAAAGTAAAACAACTAATATCTAACTTATCCAGCTATTCAAAAGGAAAGGTTTTTCTCACCATATCTTTTTAATGATTACTGGCTGAACTTTTTCAGTCAGGACTCCTCCCCCAGTCCAGTGTCTTTCCAGTTTCTGTTGATGCCTGTGAGCAGAGAGAAAGGGAGGAGTATTTTGGGGCTTCTCTTGCCATTTCTTACAGTTCTCTTTTCCCTTTGAAGATCATCTCCAGCTGGCATTCTGGAGGCAGGAGGTCTGGGAGATGGGAACTTCCCATTGTTTCACTGTTAATATGTAAAGTTCTTGCTCACACTCTTCTTCCTGACAAAGAATGGCTGCTTAACCAGATGCTAGTCCATTTGATTTTGTTGACACTTTGCTGAGATGTTGTCTAACCTTTTGTCTCTGGGGAACTGGTCTGAAGCTGTTTCCCCTAACTTGGAACATGACAGTAGAATTTTATAACCTTACATACAATGTTGCCACAGATTTTACCAGTACAATAATGTTCAGCAGATTATGATTTTTCAAATGATACCTCATAAGGCATACTTTGTACAAAATGTATCATACTCTTGTAAAAAGGTTGAACATAGGGGGTACAGAACATCACAATCATTTGTATTAGTAAATGCAACAGACACCTTCATTATGGGCTTACGTTCTAAATATATGCCTATGAAAGGACTACAGAATTCTTTATGCTCCTTAGAAGAAAAATCCAAAGTACTAGTTTGAGTCAACAAGCAAAATGGATGGAGTAAAGAATTACCATATGGTTCTCCCTTTTACAGATCTGGAGTACATTAAAATGTTTTAATGAAAAAAATCAAATCAGAGTTCTACATTGGTACACACAGTTCAGTGGTTTTAAAATACTATGTCCATGCTATATTTTTTTTTAAGTTGGAAGTGAATCAACTGGCAATTTAGTGTAGCAAATTTAGCCCATATTGAACTGGTTTAAACTTTTAATGCTGAAATCTGCAATGAAACATAAAAGCGGTAAGAGATCATGCAAAAACAAGTCACAAAAAAAGACTGTAAAAAATAATTAAACATAAGAGAAAACTAAAAGGGGGCATGCAGCCAAAGTAAAAAAGGGGTGACAGTTTCTTCTTTAACCATCGTTTACCTATGCATGATCATAAAACTGATGTAATGGGACGTGGCAGATTTTTTTCTGTTCGGAAAGATTTTTTTTATCTAGTGCAACAGCAGAGTTCCTTGGAAAACTTGATTAGGAGGAGGGGTGAGAAAAAACAATTTGGCTTAGTATAATACTATCCATCTGAGTGCCCATCCCACTGAAGATCAAATCACTGTTCCTCCAGCTATGCAAACTAGCCTGGGCCTGATTTTCCTCACTTAGTGCCTGATCCTGCCCCATTGAAGTCAATGGGAGCATTACCATTGATTCACTAGGAGTAGGATCAAGCCCTTACACTGATTTAACTACATTTAAATGAAATGAGAATTTAACTCTACAGCATTACAATGAAAGAACCCCAGTCCTGCCCCAAGACCCCATTGTACTAGATGCTGTACAAAGAGAGAACAAAAAAGACAGGGCCTCCCCCAAAGAGTTTACAATCTAATGTAAAACTCTAGGCATTGGTGCCACTGAAGATGTTTTTGGGAGAGATGGGATGTGGGTTTGCTAGCAGCTCTCTCCCTCACATATTGACTGGGTAGTGAGTCTTACTGCCTCTCTTAATCCTGTGAAAACAAACACAGCAGAGTAAGAGAGCTTTGGCTGCTGAATAGAGAGGAACTGAAAGAGGGAAACCAGAAACATACATAGAACAGGGAAACATTTAAAATAGCTGTAACTCCAGTAAAAACACTCAGCTGGCTAGCAATTATATTCTGACACAGATTCACAAACAGCATGCTAGTTCTTATACATTACTTCACAGCACATAAACTAGCTTTTTTACACTGTGGCAGCAATTCATTTGAGAGTTTGTTGAACTAAAGTTGGTCAGCAGTTAACTTGAACACTGTATCAAATTTCAGAGCGTTAGTCTGTATTCGCAAAAAGAAAAGGAGTACTTGTGACACCTTAGGGACTAACAAATTTGAGCATAAGCTTTCATGAGCTAGAGTTCACTTCATGCTCAAATAAATTTGTTAGTCTCTAAGGTGCCACAAGTACTCCTTTTCTCTTTATCAAATTGTTATCCTAATAAATTACTAGCTAGTCATTATGCCATATCAAATGCTGCTCTACTTCCTCAATACTTAATACATGAGGCTCTCTTTTAAGACTAAGTAATTTCCTCAAATAATTTTCCTTCAGTTTTAAGGTGAATTTCTATCCTGTATGTAGTTTGCAAATGATCAAACTAAAACTTTCTTTAATACGTTATAGCATTGCAATAAGACACTAATATCATGGCTGATCAGGCAATTGTATTCTAAGCCACTGTTTGCAGATGTTCATTTTTGCTGGTAAGATCATGGTTTTGGCTGAATGTCTTGTGTTTGTTTTTGAGCCAAAGGTGAATTTTTCAGAACATTTTATTTTAAAATAACTACTGCTTTGGACAAATAGCTGAATGAATAATTGCTTGTGATTTTCCCTTGTGCAGAGTGCAACTGTGATGCACTTGGCTCATTGGACAATACATGTGGGCCTAGTGGTCAGTGTCGGTGCCGTAAAAATTATGCTGGACTTCGATGCAACCAATGTGCTCCAGGTTATTTTAGCTATCCCAACTGCTTGCGTGAGTAACAGTAGTTCCTTCTTTTGCTTTGCTTTCTGTTATAAAGAAAAAAATCAGTTAATTCCCTCAAAAGCTTTTCCATGTAAAACTGCAAGAATCAAAGCAAGAGTGAGTCATTTTAGGCAGAAACAGTAAATGGTTCTCTCCTCCCCCTGTTTATTTTGCACATCGTATATAGAAGCTCTGTGGGGCAGGTAGATGAGGCTACCAACTACAGTTCTTAAAAGCCTCATTAACCTCTCAGGCCTTGTCTAGACTGGGATTTAAAGTGTGATGTTAACTAACATGTTTTAAAAGTCTAATGTAGACAACGCTTGCTGCCTCTAGCAATTCTAACTTGGTCAATAGTTGGGGTGGGGACTTTGGGGAAGGGGTGGGGCAGGGGCAATAGGGAGCCTCAGCTTTAACTCAACTAGTTTAGTGTGTATTAAAGTATACATTGCCTAACATCATGTGCCAACATCACACCTTAACTCCTAGTCTACATGAGACCTAGAAGGGCTTGATCCTGCAAACCTACTCATCTCAGTAACCTTACTCACCTGACCAGTTCTACTGATTAGACCCAAAATGAATTATATGACTGATATTACAGAAACCTAGAGACAGTAAAGTTATCAAGTAGAATGAAACATTCAGACCCCGTCTACACTGTAATTAAAATCAGGTGTTTAAGTAACTTTAAACATGGTTGTTATGTGCGTGGTTATAGGTATGGTGGTCACGTGCCTGGTACCACTGAGCATCATTAACAGAGATATTTGTTTCCTGAGAATCAAAATTTCAGATTGGCAGTACCAGAGGAGTTATATTGTTTTACAGCAGGGGTGGGCAAACTTTTTGGCCCGAGGGCCACATCGGGGTTGCAAAATGGTATGGAGGGCTGGGTAGAGAAGGATGTGCCTCCGCAAACAGCCTGGCCCCTGCCCCTTATCTGCCCCCTCCCATTTCCCACCCCCTGACTATCTAACCCCCGCTGCTTCTTGTCCCCTGACCCCCCCCTCCTGGAACCCCCCCTCCTATCTAACCCCCCCTGCTCCCTGTCCCCTGATTGCCCCAACCCCTATCCACACCCCTGCCTCCTGACAGGCTCCCTGACCCATCCAACCCCTTACCCCTTGCTTCTTGTCCCCTGACCACCCCCTTCTGGGACCCCTGTCCCTAACTGCCCCCCCAGGATCCCACCCTCTATTCAACCTCCCTGTCCCCCCCCTCCTGGGACACCCCTCCCATCCAACCCCTGCTGCTCCTGACTGCCCCCCCCGAACCTCCACCCTATCCAACTGCCCCGGAACTACCCCATGGGACTTCCTGCCCCTTATCCAACTCCCCTCCCCCTTACCATGCCCCTCAGAGTGGCAGGACAGGCTTATTGGAAAGCCTGGGAGGTGGGCGGGCACAAGCCGTGCTGCCTGCATGGCTGGGGTGACAGTGGGGGAGGAGCTGGGGGCTAGCCTCCCTGGCTGGGAGCTCAGGAGCTGGGCAGGATGGTCCCGCGGGCTGGATGTGGCCTGTAGTTTGCCCACCTCTGTTTTACAGTATGGCTATAACCACTTCTCAGGACAAAATTCCAACAACTTTTAGGGAACTAATTGCTACTCTACAAGAACTGTATTTAACAGTTTCAACTTTAGACACTGATCCTGCAAAGAAATATGCTTAACCTCACACACACCGAGTAGTTTGATTCACTTCAGTGGGACTACTCACAATGCGTAAATTTAGCATGTGTGTAAGTCATTTCAATACTGGGGTCAATAGTGTGAACAGGAACATGAAGATGACCATAAATGTGACTGCTCTCTGGGTAAAAGGCAAGACCCCCTTTTTAGCCCTTCCTAGTCAAGGTTTAAAGATCTGATGTTAGAACATAGTATGTGCTATCTCAGTTTTAAATCCTAGCCTAGAAAAAGCTTTTGCCTTAAGCTACATGTAAAATTAAACAGAACCAGCAAACAAAAGCCAATCCCCACTTCAGTCTGCCCTTGGGTTGAAGCAAAGAACAGAAGAATGAGTGCAGTGAAGTTCCTGATAATCCTAACTGCTTCTGTTAAGGGAAAAATCAAATCATGTAACTCGTGTGTGAAATAAGGCACTCAGATTTCATATTGATGGGTGCACTATTAATAAGTACCTAGGCAGAGAGGTTTTTTTTTTAAACAGTTATTGCAAAGAAAATCAGGAATGTTCCAGATTAGTAATGTTAAATTTTAAAACTTCAGTCCCGAAACAGGTTATTTCTTACTAAATGTAGCTAGAATCTTACCAAATAATGATTTTTTTGTTCAGCTTGTCAGTGTTCTCCCCATGGTTCCTACCAGAACACATGTGAGTCAACAACAGGGCAGTGTGAGTGTCGAACAGGCATTACAGGGCAGCAGTGTGACAGATGCCTTTCAGAAGGCTACAGTTTCCCCTATTGCCAAGGTAAGATTTACGATGGAAAATACTTGATCTTGATGCAAAATGCATACATTTTTGCCATTGTGTTCTCCAGAGCACTCCACTGTATAGATAGCTCCATAGAAACATGGAACATGTACAGGACACATCAGGGAGATGGACTAGATGATCTAATAGAATCACAGAATATCAGGGTTGGAAGGGACCTCAGGAGGTCATCTAGTCCAACCCCCTGCTCAAAGCAGGGCCAATCCCCAACTAAATCATCCCACCCAGGGCTTTGTCAAGCCTGACCTTAAAAACCTCAAAGGAAGGAGATTCCACCACCTCCCTAGGTAACACATTCCAGTGCTTCACCACCCTCCTACTGAAAAAGTTTTTCCTAATATCCAACCTAAACCTCCCCCACTGCAACTTGAGGCCATTACTCCTTGTTCTGTCATCTGCTACCGCTCAGAACAGTCTAGAGCCATCCTCTTTGGAACCCCCCTTTCAGGTAGTTGAAAGCAGCTATCAGATCCCCCCCTCATTCTCCTCTTCTGCAGACTAAACCATCCCAGTTCCCTCAGCCTCTCCTCATAAGTCATGCGTTCTAGTCCCCTTATCATTTGTTGCCCTCCGCTGGATGCTTTCCAAATTTTCCATATCCTTCTTGTAGTGTGGAGCCCAAAACTGGACACAGTACTCCAGATGAGGCCTCACCAATGTTGAATAGAGGGGAATGATCACATCCCTCGATCTGCTGGCAATGCCCCTACTTATACAGCCCAAAATGCCGTTAGCCTTCTTGGCAACAAGGGCACACTGTTGACTCAGATCCAGTTTCTCATCCATTGTAACCCCTAGGTCCTTTTCTGCAGAACTGCTGCCTAGCCATTCAGTCCCTAGTCTGTAGCAGTGCATGGGATTCTTCCATCCTAAGTGCAGGCCTCTGCACTTGGCATTGTTAAACCTCAGATTTCTTTTGGCCAGGTCCCTCTGTATCCTATCTACCACTCCTCCCAGTTTAGTGTCATTTGCAAACTTGCTGAGGGTGCAGTCCATGCCATCCTCCAGATCATTGACTATATTGAACAAAACCGGCCCCAGGACTGACCCTTGGGGCACTCCGCTTGATACCAGCTGCCAACTAGACATGGAGCCATTGATCACTACCTGTTGAGCCCGACGATCTAGCCAGCTTTCTATCCACCGTATAGCCCATTCATCCAGCCCATACTTCTTTAACTTGCTGGCAAGAATACTGTGGGAGACAGTGTCAAAAGCTTTGCTAAAGTCAAGGAATAACACGTCCACTGCTTTCCCCTCATCCACAGAGCCAGTTATCTCGTCATAGAAGGCAATTAGATTAGTCAGGCATGACTTGCCCTTGGTGAATCCATGCTGACTGTTCCTGATCACTTTCCTCTAAGTGTTTCAGAATTGATTCCTTGAGGACCTGCTCCATGATTTTTCCAGGGACTGAGGTGAGGCTGACTGGCCTGTAGTTCTCTGGATCCTCCTTCCCTTTTTTAAAGATGGGCCCTACATTAGCCTTTTCCCAGTTGTCCAGAGCCTCCCCCGATCACCATGAGTTTTCAAAGATAATGGCCAATGGCTCTGCAATCACATCCGCCAACTCCTTTAGCACTCTCGGATGCAGCGCATCCGGCCCCATGGACTTGTGCTCATCCAGCTTTTTTAAGTAGTTCCAAACCACTTCTTTCTCCACAGATGGCTGGTCACCTCCTCCCCATGCTGTGCTGCCCAGTGCCGCAGTCTGGGAGCTGACCTTGTTTGTGAAGACAGAGGCAAAAAAAGCATTGAGTACATTAGCTTTTTCCACATCCTCTGTCACTAGGTTGCCTCCCTCATTCAGTAAGGGGCCCTCACTTTCCTTGGCTTTCTTCTTGTTGCCAACATACCTGAAGAAACCCTTCTTATTCTTAAGATCTCTTGCTAGCTGCAACTCCAAGTGTTATTTGGCCTTTCTGATTTCACTCCTGCATGCCTGAGCAATATTTTTATACTCCTGCCTGGTCATTTGTCCAATCTTCCACTTCTTGTAAGTTTCTTTGTGTGTTTAAGATCAAGGATTTCACTGTTAAGCCAAGCTGGTCGCCTGCCATATTTACTATTCTTTCTACACATCAGGATGGTTTGTTCCTGTAACCTCAATAAGGATTCTTTAAAATACAGCCACCTCTCCTGGACTCCTTTCCCCCTCATGTTATTCTCCTAGGGGATCCTGCCCATCAGTTCCCTGAGGGAGTCAAAGTCTGCTTTTCTGAAGTCCAGGGTCCGCATTCTGCTGCTCTCCTTTCTTCCTTGTGTCAGGATCCTGACCTCGACCATCTCATGGGAACCTGGGTGGCAGTGACCATTGACTTTTGCTTCCCCTACTCATTCTTCCTGGTTTGTGAGCAGCAGGTCAAGAAGAGCACTGCCCCTATTTGATTCCTCCAGCACTTGCACCAGGAAGTTGTCCCCTACACTTTCCAAAAAGTTCTTGGATTGTCTGTGCACCGCTGTATTGCTCTCCCAGCAGACAGCAGGGTGATTGAAGTCCCCATGAGTCTTCCATAATAGATCTTGTTTATTCCTCACTTCCATGTTTCATAAACTGCACTGAGGGAATTTGGCACTCTTTAGCTGGTGGCATTGTAGATTTAGGAAAAATACCGTTGGTTATTCATCAGAGGGTAGCCATGTTAGTCTGGATCTGTGAAAGTGGCAAAGAGTCCTGTGGCACCTTATAGGCTAACAGACGTATTGGAGCATAAGCTTTCGTGGGTGAATACCCATTTCGTCGGATGCATGTAGTGGAGATTCAGTTACTCTTTTTCCCATCCCTGCCATATTTTTGCAAATAATCCTGATGGTTACATATAAAAATAAAAGTTCTAAAGTATGCACTGATGCTAATTATCCTTTTACACAGTCACCATTAAAGACTTCAACTCATTTTAAAATATCAAGATCACCCCTGGGCAACCTTATTATAGAAAAGTTTGGAATTTGCAACTGCTCCATTGCTTCATTTACAAAAAATGATCATATGTTTATTTTTTTATTACATAAAGGAGCAAACAATGACTGTGACCCTGCTGGTACTCTTGATTCCCATACTGTAAGTATTATATTTTTGGCATTTACAATAAATGTTAATTGATTCACTATATCTGTAATTACTGAATACATTGATTTGGAATTTCTAAATATTATAGATGATTTCCTAACTCAAGAAGTGTTGCAACAGACATGGGGGGAATTCTATATTACACACCTAGTCTTGATAGAGAGGAACTGGTCACAGAACTAAAAATTAATGACAGGTTTCAGAGTAACAGCTGTGTTAGTCTGTATTCGCAAAAAGAATTAGTGGTAGCTTTGGTACAAGTGATCGTGACTTGCACAAAGTAGAGCAGCAACAAAACCTGAGGGAGCTTAGTAAAATTGGCATAAAAGCTAAGCTGTTTGAAATTGTGTGTCACTCTATAACCAAGCCAACATAAGATGCTGTGGGAACATAGCTAAGGCTTAAACAAAAGCTAGCAGAAAAAGTACGGCATCCATTAAATGAGCAAAACCAAAAACTTGTTAAACTTCTCTTACCTGCATATAATAAAAACACACCAAAACACGCCCCCTGAATAATGATTCCCCATTTATAATTATTCTACCATTTCAATCCAGTAAGGGACAAATACCATTGTTAGGATTGTTTTTGTTAATATACTTTAACGCCTTCTTATTCTCCTTAACGCTGGTGGCATAGATTTCTACTTGCAGACCTTTGCTTCCCTTCTCAATTTTCTACAACTTCTACCTTTGGATTTAGGGTCATTACTGTCAACTTCCCCTTTCTTCCATTGGTAATATATTTTTTAATTTTTATAGCTGCCTTCACTTCCCCTCTAAACGAGGTCTTTGTTAAAACCAATATGGCCTTCTTTCTCAATTTGTGGGATTGTGGCTTCTTGGGCATCTTCTGAAGTGCTCTTAAGCAATTCCCAATAGTCATTCTATATAAAAAGGGAAACAAGGAGAACCCAGGGAATTACAGACCAGTCAGCTTAACTTTTGTACCTGGAAAGATAATGGAGCAAATAATTAAGCAATCAATTTGGAAACACCTAGAAAGTAATAAGTAACAGTCAGCATGGATTTGTCAAGAACAAATTGTATCAAACCAACCTGATAACATTCTTTGACAGGGTAACAAATCTTGTGGATATAGGGGAAGTGGTAGATGTGGTATATCTTGATTTTAGTAAAGTTTTTGATACTGTCTCACATGACCTTCTCATAAACAAACTAGGGAAATGCAACCTAGATGGAGCTACTATAAGGTGAGTGCATAACTGGTTGGAAAACCATTCCCAGAGATTAGTTATCAGTGGCTCTAAGTCAAGATGGAAAGGCATAATGAGTGGGGTCCCACAGGGATCAGTTCTGGATCCAGTTCTGTTCCATATCTTCATCAATAATTTAGATAATGGCATAGAGAGTACACTTCTAAAGTTTGTGGACAATACCATGCTGGGAGGGGTTGCAAATACTTTGGTGGATAGGATTATAATTCAAAATGATCTGGACAAACTGGAGAAATGGTCTGAAGTAAACAGGATGAAATTCAATAAGGACAAATGCAAAGTACTCCACTTAGGAAGGATCTATCAGCTGCACACACAGAAATAGGAAGTGACTGCCTAGGAAGTACTGCGGCAAGGGATCTGGGGGTCATAGTGGACCACAAGCTAAATATGAGTCAAAGTGTAACACTGTTGCAAAAAAACCGAACATCATTCTGGATGTATTAGCGGGAGTGTTGTAAGCAAGACGCAAGAAGTAATCCTTCTGCTCTACTCCACACTGATTAGGCCTCAACAGGGGTACTGTGTCCAGTTCTGGGCGCCACATTTCAGGAAAGATGTGGAGAAACTGGAGGAAGTCCAGAGAAGAGCAACAAAAATGATTAAAGGTCTAGAAAACATGAACTATGAGGGGAGATTGAAAAAAGTTGGGGTTGTTTAGTTTGGAGAAGAGAAGACTGAGAGGGGACATAACCTTTTATGTATTTGAAAATTATTACAAGGAGGGAGCAAAAAAGTGCTCTCCTTAACCTCTGAGGATGGGACAAGACGCAATGAGCTTAAACTGCAGCAGTGGCGGTTAGGTTGGACATTAGGAAAAACTTCCTAACTGTCAAGGTGGTTAAGTACTGGAATAAATTGCCCAGGGAGGTTGTGGAATCTGCATCATTGGAGATTTGTAAGAGCAGGTTAGACAAACACCTGTTAGGGATGATCTAAATAATATGTAGTTCTGCCATGAGTGCAGGGGACTGGACTAAATGACCTCTCAAGGCAGTCCTATGATGCACATTTTTCTGATTAAATTCTGCCTCCCAGCTGATGTGTCTCAATTATTTTCAGCTTTGTCAAATTGGCCCTTTTAAAACACCAAGTACATATGCTACTGGTTTGGACTTTCTGTTTGCATGTTATGACAAACTTTGGCAGGCTTATGCATTTTAAAGTTTACTTTTATAGTTAAAAATTATTAACACCTCATAAACAATATTTCACTAAATGTTAGTGACTGCAGATTGGTGAAATTTAACAACATTTAGCACAATAATACTATTAAATATTTAATTTTAAGCTATTAGTTGGGTTTGTTTTTATATAATTGTTTGGTTTTAATACAATTTTTACATATGAACTACTACTGTATAGGTTTTCACTTTTTCATAATTTATACTACAGATAAACAGATTTTTTTGGATAAGAATGTTAATGGTTAAGCTTTATTTTATATTTACTGCTTTTTTGTGGTGCTGGGTTGGTTTTTGCTTCCAAAACACACAGCCATCTGAAAAAGAAAATAACCTATTGTGTCTTCTCTTTGGAGCCTTTGAGATTTTAATTAAATAGCAATAGTTTTATTTCATTTGTTTTACAATATATACTACATGTTACATGGGAATGCACTCTCTTCTTATAGTGCAATCTTTACCCTTTATTTGCCATAAAATTGTTAGCCATATTAATCTTTATATGAAGTGCTTGTAGAATTTTCATCTACTCCTATCAAAGTGATTGCCTGGTTACGTAGAGCCACATTAAGGTCTGGTGTTCTGAACATTGCTATTTTTGTGAGTACCCCTCCCCCTGCCTCAGTTTTCTTTTGCAGCCTTTTTAGCTGCTATTTTATTAATCCAGAAGGATTTAGAGTCTCTTCCTACTGTCCTGGTTCTGGCCATCCCTGTCATAGCCACAACCATATCTTCTAGTCCTTATTTTAAAAAGTGTTGAACTTCATAGAAACATTGAGGTACTCAAATGATTAAATGCTAAAAAGCAAAGCCAGATAACACCAGCTACTTGGGTTTGACATGAGAGGGGGGAAAAAAAAATTAGCAAAGACTACCCAGAAACATTGACAGCTGCTCAAAAAGTGTGTGTGTGTGTCAGTTTTTATAACTTTGACTGAAAGATTCAAAAGGATTTAGTGGTATTTTTTAAAAGGCAATTCATTTTAAACATTCAAAATGGGGTTTTAGACACTAGGAGTGTTTAGGTCCCTAAAACTTTGCATAAGTACACAGATGTATTTGGTTTTTTTAATATTTTGCTTAATGTCCCTTGTGTTGCTCTAATTATTTTTTTTATACCACTGTACCTAGATTACATTCCCTACTTGTACATTCTGAGGCAGCAAGTTCAAATGGAAACCCCTTTTTCCCCCTTAGTGATTTTGACTAAATTGTCCATACCACACATCCAAAGTTACACAGAAAACCTCTTCCTTTATTGTATATACATTTACTATACATCACACATTTTGGGATTGGCTTGGTTACTTTATGGGAACCAATCTCAGTACTGCATGCTTTGTCAACAGTGTAGGACTTATGCTTTTCCTCATCTCACATTCTGGGCTTATTTTGTCCACTGTTACCAGTTCCCTGGGTATTCGCTCTTATCTTAGAGAAGATAGGCATTCTGTCCGATATATTACTAACCTATCAATGCACAAACATTCTGTTTCCAGTTTGCTGTTCTGTTTACCTACTGTAGCAATGCGAGACTCACCAGCACAGCACCTCCTGCTGGTCATCTGGCAATTAGCTCTTTCCAGCCTTCAGAGCACCCTCTGCAGGCCAGTGTCTCACCTGCCACTGGCCCCATGTCCCTCCTGGACCCCAGAGGCCTTTTCCTCAGGGTTCTGCCCCAGCAGTACCCCCACACTCTGGGTCTTCCCTCCCAGGAGAACCCCAAACCCACCTTGCCTCAGTGGCTACTGCCAGTCATCATCTAGCCCCCACTCACTGGGGCAGACTGCAGTGTAATGGACACTCATCATTGGTTAAGACCTGCTGCCTTTGCCTGTCTCTGGGCTGCCCCTCTGCAGCACCAGTACCTTTGTAGGCCTTCACCAAGGCCTGCAGCCTGGGGTTTTACCAGGCTGGAGCTCCTGCACTCCCTCTGGCCTTCTCCAGCACTGCTCCACCTCAGGTACCCTGCTCCCAGGCAGCTAGCCCTTCCCACTCCAGGACTAGAGTGAGACTCCATGCTTCTGGCCCACAGCCCTCTTATAAGGGCCAGCTGGGCCCTGTTTGAGCTGGCCACAGCTGTGGTCAGCTACTCACTCAGCTTCCCCCAGCTGGTCTCACTCCTCTTCCCTCACCACAGCCCTTTCCAGGGCTGCTTTTACTATTGGCTCCCCAGGGCAGCCCTCTCCCAGGGCTGTTTTAACCCCTTCAGGGCTAGAGCAAGGTGACCACCCCGCTACCCCTCCCTAATCCTGTCTCCCAAGAAATAAGGCCACATCCATGTCTGACTCATGTCAAGCCAGGCCTACAGTGTTATAATATGGGACTTCACTTGGTAACGAACCCGGGTGCGCTTTCCTGGGCCCAGTGAATTTTAGTATACTAAAGCAAAGATGTTTTTTCCCAAAAATTGGCATCTATTGTTTAAATATCAATATAGTAAAAGTTCTGTATCCTGTCTTCTGGATGTAATTTAGCATGCTTCCTTTTGAATACTACGTAAAATATCCTTTTTGGAGATAAAAAAGAATGATGTAAGCTAGTGCTTTCCCCCTTTGTTGCACATTATTCACATTCCTTAGAGTTCCATAGTAGGAAGAAATCTCAGTAGTGCCTCATTGTTCAAAGAACATTCTTTTCATTATTTAAAATAATCTGAACACTGGGATGCCCAATGTTTGATTCTTTTCTGCCATCAGGGCTATTGTCGGTGTCTGCAGCATGTTGAAGGTCCTATATGTAGCAGATGCAAACCACTTTACTGGAATCTGGCCAGAGAAAACCCTGATGGATGTACAGGTAAGATTTCGTACATGCATTTCTTCAGGTCATCAAAGACAGTTAAACTCTTTTTATCGATCGTCAGCTATAATTAGTGACACAAACCTTCTATGTTGGTTATTGTATCATAGCAGCAGATTTTTCATACTGCTGACATTTGGTACCAAATTACCCATGATTCTTACACTTGTTTTCAAAACTCAGACCCTATCCTGGCACCAACAATTGATGATGATGTCCCAAATTCTGCTCTCAGTTACATTGGTATGAATCAGGTGCAATCCCATTGTGACTTCAAAGGCGTTATGCAGACTTTACACCATTATAACTTAGAGCAGAATTTGCCCAAGAGTTTGGAGAAAATGTTCTTTCTCCTCTGATAGTGTATTCTCCTAAATTATCAAGGGTGAGAAAGCATTCTTATTGGCTTCACAATTTGCACAGCCTACCGTTGTTTATGTCTAAGTAAGATCAGTGTGACAGCTGCTGTTAGTGAGGATGTGGTGTACCATCTGTTTTTAAATTGCAGAGCAACAATTTTATTTTTAAAGTCCCACTTCTTCCATATGTTTCTCTTCTAGTGGATTGCTTCACAGCAACCTCCCAATGGTTGGAGAGATGAGATATATAGCCAGCTCTAGAGCTACCCGCACTGTCTTTACAGCACTGAATCCAAATATAGCTCAGTCTGTATCTTCTCCTCAGGGACCAGTCACATCACCTCTCCATAGTCCCAGTGTCAGTAGGGGCACTTCCATGGCTGCACAATGCACCTATGTCAGCAAAGATGGTTCCTGTGATATTTGTCTCATTTCTATTTCATGAAGCATGCTGTAATTGTCCCAAAGGGTAGCACTGCAAAATAAGGAATAGTCAATCACTCTGGCAGAAGGAGATTTTTCTCTCGCCACATAAGTACCTCCAACGATCAGAGCAATATCATTCTTTGTTCTGTGTAGAATTCCTCAATCTCAATTCAAGTCTGTCTTTGTCAAACACAAATTGGAATATTTCAGACCAGTGTGTGGCTGGTAACTGCCCAGTTATGTACGGGAGTAAAGGACACAAGAAGCCCTCACCTTTCTCCCTTTCCTTTTCCTCTCCCCTCATCCCGTTATGCTCCTGCAATTCAGGGACTGGCCATAGCTGTATTTCCTGTGCTTTCCTGAGGGAAGGGCTTGCTCTGTGCTAGCATCATCTGGAGTGCAAGGCATCAACAATGTGGCAGTAGGAGGTAGTGTCATAGCCTGGCCTTACTCGCTTTCTGCTCTCACACTTGCCATAAAGCAGTGTATTCTGTACCACTGAGAAGTAGGTGTTCCTCCTTCATGTCTTAGAGCTCCAGAAGGCAGTGTGAATTCCAGAGGAAAATTCACATTAATGCTCAGTGAATCGCTATTTCAGATTCTGTTGCTTTTGGTCTAAAGCAGAGGTGGGCAAACTATGGCCTGCAGGCCACATCCGGCCCGCAAGACCCTCCTGCCTGGCCTGGGAGGTTAGCTCCCGGCCCCTCCCTTGCTATCCCTCCTCCCCCGCAGCCTCACTGTGCCGCCGGCACAAGGCTCTGGGCGGCCGGGCAGCGCAGTTGCAGAGCCGCGGCCTGACCCGGTGCTCTGGGCGGTGTGGCTGTAGCACCGCCAACCACTGGTGCTCCAGGCAGTGCGGGACAGGGAGCAGGGGGGCTTGGATAGAGGGCAAGGGAGTTCGGGGGTGTGGTCAGGGGTCTGGGGTGTGGATGGGGCAGGAGTCCCGGGGGGCCCTCAGGGGACAGGGAACAGGGGGGTTGGATGGGGCAGGAGTCCCAGGGGAGCCGTCAGGGGTTGAGAAGCGGGGGGATGGTCGGATAGGAGGCAGGGGCTGGGCCATGCCTGGCTGTTTGGGGACACAGCCTCCCCTAACCGGCCCTCCGTACAATTTTGGAAACCTGTTGTGGCCCTCAGGCCAAAAACTTTGCCCGCCCCTGATCTAAAGGCTTCCTAGGAAGGTGAAATTCAGGTCAATCTGTCTGTCTTCACAGAGTGCCAATGTGAGGTGACGGGAACACTAAGTGGAGTCGGAGAATGTCAGCAGGTAAAGAGAAATTAAGGTTGCATAAAAAGGAATTATTTTAACACTCGGTCAGGTAGAATTCTAGAAATGGTTATTGTCCTTGTATGGACAAATAACTGGTGACATTCCAGATATATTCTATAAAACTTTCCCTGCACGTTTTTTAGGGTCTCGAGCACATTTCCTTTAGACTGTTTGTTCAAGGTGACAGATGGCAATAGTAATATCCTGAAAATATCTTCTTTGTTCTGGTCAGGATTTTTTCCCCTTCTGAATAAGAAATATTGAACAAAAAGTTGAAACCATCTTGATCAAATCATTTTCTCCGCAGAAGAATGGTGACTGTCATTGCAAACCTGATGTTTGTGGAGGTTCCTGTGACACTTGTGAAGCTGGCTATTATGCTCTGGAAAACAGGAATTACTTTGGGTGTCAAGGTAAAATGGAAAATGAGTGTTTCCAACAGAGTAGTTACACATGGTAAATAAAATGTCTTTAAAATCCCAAGGGTCACATTTTCAGAACCAGGCCTCTGTTTGAACACTAAACCACCCATATGTGCATTTTTTTACACTATCACTTGTGAGTGCATGTCATAAATGTAGAAGTGCAAACCCCAGTTTTAGTGTGCAGATTGAGCTCATTCATGAGCAATTAGTTTTGCTCATGAATATTCTGTCATCTTCCTTAAGGCTCTCTGCACCAATTAAATCACCTATTTCCATCTAAAGGGACAGAGAACAAGGCAGTTGTTTCTATAGCATACAGAACCTCTCTGACAAAGGCTGATACCTTTCCTACTCCCCATGTGGAGGACGTTTAAATGAAGTGGAAAGCCCTGTGAAGTGAAGTGAAGACCTAAATATCACAATTAAATAGACTTTAAAACAAGATATTTGAAAATTATTTTTCCTTTTACTTTCCTTTCGGGACCTTAGATCAGGGTTATTTGTTTCTTCTGATGCCTATAAAACTGCAGTTCCATGATGTGCTTAGCTGTTTGTAATGTCATCAGCTGCTGCAGAAAAACCGTGAAATGCTGAATTCAGATCCTAGCAGACTGTAAACTGCTTCCCCCCCCACCCCGAGATGTACTTGCATGTCATTTTAAACCTTCTCTGTTGGGGCCTAGCCCAAAATATGTTGAAATTGCTGGAAACATCCCCATAGACTTCATTGGGATTTGGATCAGTCCCTTAATGATTTGAGATTTTAAAATATATTTTTAGATCATTTCAGTTCTTTAAGCAATCCCTTCTTCAGTGTATGGAGTTATAAAATATGGCCAAAATGATCAAACCTAGATAATAAAAGTAAAGTACCTAAGCAAAAGTGGTCTGATTGTCAAAGGGTTGAGCACCTAAAGTTTCCATTGATTCCAAGGAGATTTATGGGTCCTCAGCACATCAGAAAAATAGGCCACTTATATTTTGATGTGTATGTAGAGTTAAGAACCTTGAAGCATTCGGCTTTGCATTTTTTGACCTAGATATACTTTTAAGGATGTCCTTAATTTGTGACTGAAGTCCTGTTTGCTGTATCAAGTCCATAGTTTATCCAGTATTTTTTCAAAAATTATGTATATACAGGTATATGATTATATACTGTATATAATTTTTGTACCACAAATCAAAACATTGTGGTAACTGTCCCTCAAAAATAAACTCTGTTTTGTATTTTACATGCGTTTGTTCTTTATTTTCTTAAAAAATAAACTGCCACTGTATTCCCACTGCATGCTTATTTTAACCATCATTATAGAAATCCGTCCCATTGAATAGAAAAGCTGAATGCTTATATTGGTAAACCTTAATCACAGCAAACAGTAAGTGTGGCTTGTATTTACTATTTAATATTTTGACCAGGAAAAGAACCCCTCATGAGAAACTAGAAGTAACTGAAATGTGTACAACTGTATCAACATTTGTTTCAAAATCTCAGAAGGGAGAAATTTGCATTGTCACTTAATGGTGGTTTAATTAGAACAGTGGTTCTCAGCCTATTTACCATTATGGGCGGCATATGCAGCCCACAACATGTTATGTGGGCCGCATCCAATACTACCTGTACGGCCTTGAGGATGTCACGTGGGCTGCAGCTGTGTGCTGATTGGGCCACAGCTTGAGAACCACTGAATTAGAGGAAGTGAGGTGTGCTTTCTGGTAATGTTTATTACATTTTCTGATGAAAAATGAGGCTTCTGTTCTATACCTGATAGGCTGCCAATGTGATGTCGGAGGATCTGTCAATCTTGTGTGCAGCGAGCCATCAGGTGCCTGCCAGTGCAGAAACCACATAGTGGGAATGACCTGTCAGAAGTAAGTCTTGCTGAGACCTTTAGGCTACGTCTACACATTTAGCTGGGGGTGTGATTCCCAGCTTGCATAGACATATTCGTGCTTGTCCTGCTTGAGTTAGCCATGGTTGCACAGGCAACGGCGAGCCGCAGGGTAGCCCTGAGCACAAACCCGCTCAGACCCCTGGGGTACGTACTTGGGACATCAAGCCCCGCCCACCACTTGCCACTGCCCGCGCTACCAAGGCTACACTACTGTTTATAGTGAGCTAGCTGAAGTAGATTTAGTGTATGTCTGCACAAGCTGGGAATCGCATCCCAGCTCCAAGTGCAGACGTAACCACAGTTCATGCTTCAAAACAATCGTTTAAAACTGCCCAGGATTCCTTCATTTTTTTCCACATGTTTTGTTGATAAATTAGCTGGTAGGTTGGTCTCATTACTCACAAGTGGTGAGGTAACACATGAATTTGTCAGATGACCCAAAACACAGTTACTTCCAAAATGATATTTGAGGGGCAGTCAGCAGTTGTAATTGTATTTTGTTGGTAACAGTATGACTGCTGACAGGGAGGTGTTACAATGTTTTTATATGGAGAAATTCAGATATTCAGAGAAAATAAATAGCTCCTCCATGTTTGTTTTTTCTTTATGAAAGGCCTGAAAAGAACCACTTTTTCCCTGATTTACACCACGTGAAGTTTGAGATCGAAGATGGTACCACTGCGAGTGGAAGAGGCATTTGGTTTGGTTATGACCCCCAGGAATTTCCTGGCTTTAGTTGGAGAGGATATGCACGGATGTCTTCGATACAAGTACGTCATTGATTCAATGCTGCTGGATGAAAATGCAGCCATTGGGGCTTATGTCTCCTTAATATTGCTACCTGAATGTAAAGTCATGAAGGAGGTCAAAATAAAGTATGCCCTTGCTACTACAGTGTGTGAGAGACAGGAGCATACTTCAGTAGGCTTGACATATTTGCATTGTAACAAATATGGCCTGTTGATTGTTGAATAAAGCAGCAGCATCCAATCAAGAATGTGACTGTGCATGAATATTACAGTCTTGTGATTGTTTACAAGTCAGTTTATCATGAGCGGAGTCCAAGTGAGTAAATCAGAGAAAGAAAGTGTCCATCTGCTGTGTCTAGGGCAGGAATTAGAAGATTTGCACTGAATTCAGAGCAAAGGAATTAACAGTTATAAAACAATAAATTTAAGCAATAAAGACTAGTTGTTCACTGTCCTGGAATGTGTGCCTCTGTTATTAAATTAAGATTTACAGTTCTTAGAAAATTTATGTCCAGCTTTGGTAGGGTATCTGAGGACCAATTGGGCAACCATAAACTGAAGGGTAAGTACATAACCATTGGCCAAGTCATTATTTTCATTTTTCCTCTTCATTAGTCACTCTTTGTTCATTTTTTTTTCACTCTGGGGCTCTTTTTGTTAACTTTCTGAAATCACCCACATTCACAAAAGCTACTCTTTGAAGATCTGATTTCTTAACTTCCACTTTACACCGTCCTGCTTTTGTTTCATATCCACTTGACATTTTATGAAGAAGGTAGTGGAATTGCCAGGATGGGCAGGGATGCTATCCCTAGCCTCTGTTTGCCAGAAGCTGGGAATGGGTGACAAGGTATGGATCACTCAATGATTACCTGTTCTGTTCATTCCCTATGGGGCACCTGGTATGGTCCACTGTCAGAAGACAGGATACTGGGCTAGATGGACCTTTGGTCTGACCCAGTATGGCTGTTCTTATGAATAATTTAGACCCTGATCCTGTAAATACACATGTGCATAACTTCACTTGCATGAGTAAATCTATACATTTATGCAACTATTTGTAGGATCTGAGCCTTAGATAGTTGTATCCTTGTAGGACAGCTGAATTACCTGCACACTCCTTATATCAAAGGGCATTCTGGATTTTGACATAGCTTACCCATGTCTTGCAGGGAAATCAAACAGTTATCCCAAAATTTCTTTGGGACTGACACATTGTTACATGATATAATAATGCTACAACTTTTGTTTAAGGAGACAATCTAAAAGCTTGCAGTGTTGTCATTCAAGTGAAATAATTAGTCAGTGTGTGTCCTTAGCAGGAGCTGCGAATGCACTGTCATGCCACTAATGTGTTTTAATATACTTCAGTTTGACATCCAAATTCTAAAATGTTGGCCTAAGCAACTTACCCAAATCTGTGCCAGACCTTGGTCTAGCACCACCTCCCGCCCCCCCCCCCCCCACACTTTACCTTAAACACAAGACAGTCCACCCTTCCCCACATGTATCTTCCTTCTGTCTCTTCACTCTTGATTTCCTGTCTATGCTCTCAAACCTTCCCATCATGTCTCAAACACTATTCTGTCAGTAAAGCTTCAGGCTTCTTTTCCATCTGCCTTTTCTCTGTCAAATATATATTCTTTTGATATTTCCTCTTCTGCTTCTCTCCCAGCCTCAGTGCTCTGAATGATCACTCTCCTCCCTTCAAAAATAGTTGTAAAAGCTTCTCCTATTTTTCCATATTTTCTGTTGAACTTTCCTTTCTGCTCTCCTATTTCCTTCTGCCCTCTGTTATACTTAAAGTATTTGTATACGTGGCCTCTATAGCTCTCCCATTTCTAGATTCCCTTCTGCTCTCCTGCTTTCCTTTTTATTTTAATAAAGGGGAGGGCTATATACAAATACTCTTGTTCTCTAATGATGACCAATAAGCACAAGCTCTGAAAATGGCGTGTAAGGCCTGTCCTGGTGGCATTAGCCATTAGCTACCTTTCAGAGATTAGAGAAGGTGAGGTCTTAAAATGGGCAACCCTACTGGGTGATCTTTGTTCTGGAAGGCAGGGGAAGTGGAACATGTGTGTGCTTGAAAGGAAGAACAGACCGAGAAGGTGGTAGTAATAGAAGGGAACAGTCCCCTGGGCGTGTTGAAAAGAGGGAGAGAGAGAGGCTTAGGAGGTGTGAACCATGAAGAGAGGAAGCATAAGGTAGAATGGAGGAACAAGGCAAGGGGAACCCTTGAGGTCATGCTAAGTCTTTTCATTTGCCATTCCACCACCAATCACTGAACCACTCTGCCTGTCTGCATAAGTCTCCCACTCTGTTGCTCTGCTGTGCAAGCTTTACGTAGATAATGTGCCATGTGAATTGTCTTCTGGGGGCAGCACTGCCAGTCAGTGGCTGAGAAGAGGCACTTGGTTCCAGAAATGTCAGTTCATCTGAAGGGCAAAAATATAACCAGAGCCACCATGAATGTAACAGGCTAGGAGGTTTGCTGGGGATCAGAAGAAAGTGCAATGACATTCTGAGACTTCTGTGTGCTTTTAGAATTTTGTGTAGGATCCAGGACTTGGATGGGTAATTCTGGGTTATTATCCTGGAATCCAGGAATACAGGCAACCCTTGTTACAATACATCTGCTTTAAGGCACTGTGTGAGCAATTGCAAGATTCCAACAAAGCACTGTCCACCATTCACAGCCTAGTGTCAACATGCACCTTTAATTCTGCTTTTCCAAGACTAGCTGGGTAAGACACTATTCAATATCAGTGTTTTACCTCAGCAGAGTGTTTTGTTCTATATTCTTTCGTATGCTACCATAACTTTTCTTTCCTGTTATGGAGTTTGTCCTCGCTAAATGGTTTCTATAACTTTTCTCTCTTTGGGTGGTAGTATGTTAAATAATTTACTTTCCTTTCTTCCTTTTTTTTCTCCTTCTTTTTATTTTTCCCAGCCAGAGGTGGTTGTGCCTGTCACTGTGACTTCCTCTAAGCTCTTCCACCTAGTACTCCGCTATGTCAGCCTGGTTTCAAAGAGCTCTAAAGGGAGGATCTCAGTTGCTGAGGGGAAACATTTTGACACTAATTATACTTGTAAGTGAATTAATTTTCTTGTTAGGCTTGCCTATCTTCGCCCATCATACAGAATCACCAGAATCGCTGTTTCTGTACATATTTGTCTGTATATGTGAGTGTGTTTATTTTCTCTAGAAATTTAGCATTTTGCTTGCATGGCTTCTAACTGTTTATCTATTTGGCACTTTATGGCTGTTTGTGTTTATTAACTTCCATTTTACAGAATGAAGTGAGGATAACTCTGAATGTGGAAAAATCAAACCTCTACTTATTTCATGTTATCTTGAGATATATTAACCCTGGAATTGAAATGGTATCTGGCCGCATAACTGCTTACCAATCTCGGTCTGAAACAGGTAGGTAAAACGTAATGGCAGAAGAGAGCAGATGACTCAGTGTTAGATCAGAGAAGCATTTTCATACTTTCAGCCAAGTTCAACTAATAATGTCATTTTAAATGTATTGTTTTTAACAACTTCGAGTGCTATGTGTTTTTCTAGTGTACTTTGCTGTGACTAATGCTGCCTGTTTTTGCATGATGCCTATTGATTTCATTATTAATATTTTTTTAGATGTCTAGTTTACCAAATTTAATATTTTCAGTACTGACATAGGTGGTTCATACTGACAGTTAGGTGAAGCTTTCAGCAAGTTTAACAGGACTCAGTTGCTTTTCGATGCTACAAATAATATTTGTATTCAAAAGCTGCTTGGCTTCTGTCTTCACGGAGTGATTAATATTTAACGATGGGTCCTGAACCACAAATGTTGGATCTGGTTACAGATGTCAACAGAATTTGGAGTGGTTAGTTTTGGTTCACACCATTATGGAGATAACGATTCCAGATCCTCTGTGTGTGGGAGGGGTAGAGGCTAATTTTAGCGCCGTAGTGTGAGCCCGAATCTGTAGACCCAGGCTCTGATACTCACTGCTGCAGAGGTTGTTTCTGCCATGCTGCTGTACTCTTAGAGACTCTGTGTGGCGACACAGCTGCACAGGCTGTGTTAATTGGGCAGGGAGATGAGAGCCAAAAGGAAATACAAAGGGTCCTGTCTGTGATCAGTGGTTTCAATAAAGAATGCTCTCTAGAGTCATTGCAATTGACTCCCATTTCTTCTCTTCCGTGAGGGACACTGCAGCTATGGTATTTCTGTATTTTAACTCTGTACAAAGGAACAGAAGTCCTCTTATGTTACAGTTAGTAACTAAAATTGTAGATGCTTATCAGAACTTCTTGAGTCTGCAGAATTTGGCTGGAAATCACATGAGAACAGGCTTTCTCCTAAAATTTCCATTACCTGCTGCTTTGCGTCAACTGAAAATTCCACAATGTTGGCCCTTTGTTGTCTTTATTAAAGCAGTGCGAGACAGATGGAACAAAAAATAAGGGAAAAGGAAGGAAATGTTTCAGAACTTTCCCAAGCTGTGGCAAAAGTTCAGGGGGAAATAGAGGTGTTTCCTATTTTTCTAAATCACTTCACTTGAGCCTAGTGAGAATGAAGAGGACAATAATCACATAGATCTATGGCTTACTATGTACATTATGTGGTGTATTCTTAACTCATGCTGAAAGATCAGTGTTGACCAGTTGTTGTCAGTCTGATTTTAGTGAATGAAAGCATTGGTCTTATGCCTTGAGAAAATTGAGTCATTTGACATAATCTAATATTATTATTAATTTATTTTTTGCTGTCAGGGGCTACTCAGAGCAAAGACATTGTCTTCCCACCCAGTAAGAAGCCGGCTTTTGTCACTGTCCCAGGAAACGGCTTTGCAGATCCATTCTCACTTATTCCAGGAACATGGATTGTCAATATTATGGCAGAGGGAGTCCTCCTGGTAAGAAAATGACTGAGACAAAATATTTTAAGTTTTTGAGAGTAGAATTTATTTGGGAGAGTTTGAGAGAGAATGAAAGGACCACCTCAGAGTTAGGTGCCAGGAAGATCCCTGTAAAGGACATGAAACTTAATAGTACAGGAGAGCACAGTGTCATTCTGGAATAAAAATTGTGAAATTTTACAATTCTGCATTTCACTTCTTTTTCTCTTATTTGAATTTCACCTGCCCTTGTTTTGTATGTATCAGACTTTAATATATATTTAGACTGTGCCTCTCTAATGGATGTACTTTTTAAAAAAATTCACAGGTGCTTATACAAAGCTGTAATCATCACGTTTTGGCCCTGTCCAGATGTCTTATCCAAAATCTGTGTCAGTTATAATTTAAAACTCTTTCCACAGAGTTAGAGCCCAATTGTGAAAAAGCCCACAAGAGTCACTTCACTCATGAGAGCAATCCAAGCTTTCATGTGTTTGATGGATCAACCTCTTAATTATTGATGAAGATCCTATGACAGGGAATTCTCTCAGAGAAAATATGAGGAACTCCTCCTTTAATAAGTTGTTTTCTAAATGCTGCAACCTCCTTCCACTGCCTACAAAATGGGCAAATTATCCATCATAAAGATTCAGAAGTTAGTGCAAAGTATAACACAGGCAAAATGTTTCAAGTGATCACTTATGAAACACCCAACTATATATAATCACAGTGAAATCATGCCAAAATCAACTTGTATTTTTAAACATTTTTTAGCATGAATCAGAAATGAACACCTTCAATCATCAAGCCCATGACTGTACTAAAATATATGGAATAGACTACATAATGTCTAGAGTACTATTATACCTTGTTTCTTATCTATAATGGCAATATTTATTATGTTTTGTTGTCTGTTCTGTCCATAATTTTGAAAGGGGACTTGCTGATTGTCCTAACAAATCATATTATTTATTTTTATAGTAAAACTTCAACAAATAAAAATTTAAAATCAAATAAACATCAGTATATAGATTAAAATTGATAGATCAGTAGAGCCAGAGTTTTAAAATGTGCCTTCTTTTTATGCCTGTTTGACTTCACTTAATTCACTGAATTTGTATGCATAATCAGTTTGGTGCACCTAGGAGAACCCTATTTGCATATGTTAGTCAAGCACAAATGTTTTTGTGCATGTCAATTCAACATCTTGCATACACAGGTGAATAGTGTGCAGAAGCAATTGTGTACATAAAGTGTTTATGTAACCCGTGCTTGAACCATGTGGCATTCTGTCCTCCTCTAGTGGTTTGACTGCACAGAAATTTGAGAGTCAGCTGCAGCCGTGAGCTGAGAAACCTGGGTCTCTTAGCTCAGTGGCTCTCATCCCTTTCCAGACTACTGTTCCGCTTTTAGGAGTCTGATTTGTCTTGCGTACCCCCAGGTGACACCTTACTTAAAAACTACTTGCTTACAAAATCAGACATAAAAATACAAAAGTGTCACAGCACACTATTACTTAAAAATTGTTTACTTTCTCATTTTTACCATATAATTATAAATTAAATCAGTTGGAATGTACACATTGTACTTACATTTTAGTGCACAGTATATAGAGCAGTATAAACAAGTCATATGAAATTTTAATTTGTACTGACTTTGCTAGTTTGTTTTATGTAGACTATTATAAAACTAGGCAAATATCTTGATGAGTTGATGTGCCCCCTGGAAGACCTATGCATACGTTTTAGAGATGTACGTTTTATAATTTTCTGTGTGCTCTTGTATGAATCACATTATTTGTTTTTAGGATTACATGGTGCTGTTACCTAGTGATTACTATGAAGCGCCCATCTTACAATTACAAGTTACAGAGCCTTGCACCTATTCAGGACGTGCTACGACAGATAAGTTAGTATATACACTTTATAATAAGCTGATTACCCTGGACTACTTTAATGATTTTCCTTCAATGTTGTAATTGGTAATTATGATATCACCGTGTTTTGCTTTGTTTTAAAGCTGCTTGCTTTATCAGCATTTACCACTAGCCAGATTTTCCTGTGTCCTCGGTTCAGAGGCGACACATTTCTTGCTTGGTGGAGAGTACAGAAAAATAGCTGTCCGACAGCCAACCCCAGAGCATCCAGTAATGTCCCACATCAGTGGAAGAGAGGTCAGATTCCTGTATACATACTAACAGATACTAATTATAGTCATGTTTGTATTGCCAATTAGCTAATTGTAAATTTGTTGGGATCAATTTCTCTGCAAATTCATAGCGAGTCCATTAGCCTCCATGAAGTTACTTGGGATTTATAGAAGTGTAATTTAGGGCATGTCTATATGGGCCTGCAGTTTGGACTAAAGGGACTACATTAGTGCGAGCTAGGAACCTTTAAGTTTGCACCCGCAGCATCCATATGGGGGAATTACAGCACTGCACCTTTGTGCACACTACCTACTCATGCCCCATTAGTCCAAACTGCAGGCCAGTGTGGACATGCCTGAAGATCAGAATCTGGTTCATCGACTAATATCACACATGGCTGCAATAAATATACAACTGTGATTTAAGTGAATGCTTTAGTCTATCAAAGGTCAAAAGGTTTTGTAAAGAATCCTTCACTGAAATCCCTCAGCTAATTCATGTACTGTCAAACTGTCTGTTTTAGAAACAAATTGTATCATTGAGCAGTAACAATAACACACAAAAGTAATGTAAAATTTAGCATTTTGTGATTTCTTAGATATATATATGTACATCTGTGTACATTTGTTTTATTAATGGTTGCATTTTTTAAAAAAAATCAAAGAAGCAGAACAATTATGCCAGAGTATATCCATTAAAATAGGGTCTCATGCTTTATCATATAAAGTTTTGTAGTAGTACATTATTGAAAAAATATAACACTAACCTCTATGATCTAATTATGTACGTGGGAACAACACATAAAGATAATGACTCCTTTTGTCTCCTGTTAATATCCCCTGGCACAGCTCATTCTTGAAAATCTGTATTGAAGCAGGAACAGTCAAACACCAAAAACCCTGATCTTTCTAACACTTATACACGTTCCTAGCTTTAGCCATGTGAGTTCTCCCATTGAAATCAAAATGACTAATCACATAAACAGATTCATATACATACTTAAGTGTTCACAGGATCAGGGCCTAAGGGAATACTGATGAAAATGCTAACGTTCAGAAGAATTATACTGAATTCAGCAACAATAAAAGGTGTAGCTGTATAACACTTTTCATGCCAGTATCTCAATAAATAGAAATTTTAAAATTTTTCAAGTAGTTTGCTTAGGACTCCAAGGAAAACTTCATGCTTCAGAAAGTGCTGTTGGTTATTTATTAGATAACAACCTTCTTCTCAGCCCAGCATTTTGTAAGGAGAACTGGAGGCTTTGCCTTTCAGTTGAGACATAAAAACAGTATTGACCTGGCATTAAAAATTCCATGTGGAGAGGAATGATGATAGCCCCATGTCCTGGCAAAATTTCGAAAAGTACATTCTACCTATAAAAATTCTTTCTCCTGTTATGTCTACTGGATAGAGTAAGATTCTTTTGTCCAAAACTGTCATATAATATTCCTGGCACTAATATAAGGGCAGGTGTTTCCAGAGATGGCTGCATTTTGGTGGCAGGCATAGTAATCTCTGTATACCGCAGTTTTATTTCTGAAAAGCAGCTTAATGTTGTGAAAAGTAATATATAAATTGAGTGATTTTTTCCCCAATGATGCTAAGCTTATTTTCTTGTTGAATCTCCAATAGGTTGATTTACAACTGAGACTGAACATTCCCCAAGTCGGTCGCTATGTGGTAGTTCTTGAATATGCTAATGAAGATGATCAGTTATACACTGCTGAAGTGATAGTGAACAGTCCTGGGCCTGTCCTGAAGGCCAGAGTGAACATATACAGCTGTAAATACAGGTAGGGATTTCAGAAATAATTATAGAATGGTTAAATTATCAGGTGGAATGGAATTTTATACTTTTTAATCAAAGATTTCTTTGTAATACATGTAAATTGTGGTGTATAGTTTGTTTTATTTTCTAGGGTTTTTAAGTTATTATCTGATCTGTACATTTGAATTGTGCAGTTTATATTTCTTCTCTTTATCTAGGTTTTTAAACCATGCTCCATACCGTGGCATGTGTGCATTTAATATTATTATTACTTCAGCTAACTGGGCACTGTATCTTCACATAAAATGTTGCATCTTGAAATTTAGTTATAAATCTTTATGAATTATTAAGCACAGAGTCCCATGAGCCACACATCCTCCATATATGCATCATCTCTCCATGTGAAATGAAGGCTGCACTGCCCCTGTAGAACTTATCAGGAAAAGTTAATACAGCCAATACAGATTCTAGGCCAATATGTACAGCCAACAGACTGTAAAGGAATGGCTGCCTTTTGAATTAAGAGTGACGAGGTAGCATTTTGTTGTTTATTGGTACAAGGCTGCCAGGTGGTGGTGTGTAAGTGTTGGTCGCCCAGAGCCCTGCAGACTCAGGTTCTAGTTCTCTGGGTCCTCAGAGCTAGCTCGAGGAGAGCTAGTGCATGTCTGTCTATATAGCTGGGAAGCACCCTTTCAGCTGCTGTGTAGACGTACTCATAGATGTAACCCCTAATGCTCGTCTTAATAAATTGTACCATACCTAGTTACAGGCCATAGGGGTGACTCCGTAGTCCTATGCAAAGGCTTCCTGCTCCTTCTCTACCCGCTGGGCTCCCCTGAGAAGCCTTCTGCATAGGAGTAGGACCCTCATAGATTGTAGCTCCAAGTACAGGAGTGTGGGAGGAACTGTGTACCTGATAATGTCCCCTCCCCCTACAAACTTTGGCTCCACCCCGCTCCAAACTACTGGCCAGCAGAGCTGTGTGAGCATACAGGAGGAGGAATATGCTACACTCCGAAAAGTGGTGTATTACATTTCTTCCCGTCCCTCAGCAAGGCAGGAACCCTGCGCTCCTCCTGTGGTGGCACAGCTCCACATCAGCCCTACACAAGGCTGGTCTTAAAGCTTTCAGTAGGACTCTGTGTGTGAGCAGGTACTCACCAAAGCCTAGCCCTATTGATGTTAATCAGGACAGGTCCAATTCCACCACACTTGCTCCTGTTGAGTAGCACCTTACTGTACAAACCGCCCCCTTAAAATCAAGGATCAGCTAGCCTTTGTGCGCATGTTCGCGGCTGTTCTATGCTGCAGGCTGTGTGTGGCAGTAGAATGCAGCAGCTTTCTTAACTACTGAAGAATGTTGGCTCCTGAAAGAGTGTTTACTAAGTACATTGTTACCTGCAAGGTCCTTCATTTTCGGTTTTTATTCTATTTAAAATTTCCTGGGAATTTATCAGTGTTTATTACAAAAATTAAAAAAAGGGTGAAAATTGGTGCAAAAAAACTGACTTCATGGTTTTCTGAGTACATGTCAGGGTTAATATTGGGGTACAGGAGGACAGAAAAAAAGCAACAAATGGAGAAAAGTAAGAGTACTTCTTCCCTGGCTTCCCACTCCAGTAGGAGAGATGGCAGCTTGGTAACCTGGATGGACCTCAGCGGGACTCTGGCTCCCTACTCTGGAATCAGAGATGGTGGGTTGGTAACCTGAGCAGACCCCAGGTGAACCCCCAGACCTAGCTGCCCGCTTCAGGAGGAGAGATGGTGGCTGAGTAACCTGGTGGTTTAGGTAACCGAGCCACCATCTCTCCTTCCGGAGCAGGCCCACAGCAGTCCTGAAAGCCAAAGAGGTGAAGAAGGAGAAGGTGTCATCTCCTCAGGCTGCTGCCTCTGTCTCATCCACTTCTGGGCCTGCTTCAGAAGGTGGGAAGTCAGAGCAGTTACCTGAGCTGTTCAGGTCACCAAGCCACCATCTCTCCTTCTGGAGCCGGAAGCCAGGTCCTGGGAGTTCTGGTACTTCTTTTTTTAGGACTCAAGCACTAATGTATACATACGCCTGCATGTATGTGTGTGTTTGTATCTTCCACTACATTGCCTTGCTTTAACAGACACCCTTGTATTTACATTTAGACTAGCTGATTATTAACGTAACCATATCTATCTAATGTAATGTATTGGATTTTCTTACCATAAAGAGTATTTTCATGTAGATCAGTTGTCCAAAATTATGGTGAAATTCATTAAAAAACAAATAATACCTTTTGTAAAACCCAGAGAATTATTCAGTAAAAAAAAAACAGCATAAAATGAAAGGCCTTGCTTATCTAGCATGTTACAGAGCACTAAAGCTGCCAAAAATGACTAATGTTTGCTGCCCATTTCAAAGCCTGCATACAGTGATGATTCAAGTGGAGACTTGAACTAAAATCTGGGCTTGGGGCTATGGATAGAATATGCCAAAGTGGAAGCACTGCTTTACACATGACTTCTCTTGCTCCTCCCCTTTATTTGGTCTATCTGTTGAGATGCTGCATTTTCATCAGTGACTGAGGGTATTCATTGTCCATTATCCAGGAGAAAAAATAAACATGTTGGCACTAGCATGTGCAATACAAAATATGGCACTGGCAGGAGGCTAATTTTTAATTCTACTTTCTGCTGCAGCTTCCTTTGTCGCAGTGTTGTCGTTGATAATATGAATCGCATTGCAGTCTATGACCTTTTAGCTGATGCAAAGTTACATCTTAAGGCATCAGTGATAAATTTTCTTCTGGTAAGTTTCTTCTTGTAATACTTTTCCCAGGAAATAAAGAGAGACTCTTTTCTCCCTTTTTTTATATGCTTTGTGATGATTTTTTAAATGGTGTGTTTTAAGTGCTTGAGGATGGTGATTAGGATACAGTTTGAGGATTGCTAGGATTCATACAAGCTCAATTCCAAAGTGTTAAAATAATTCTCCTTTCTTGGCAAAGGCATCACCAACATACTTCTGCTTTATTTTATTTCCCTAAATGTCTCCTATATGTACAGTTAAAGGAAGTATCATCTAGGAGCTTTCATACTTTATCAATGAGCTTATTTTTTTCTCCTTACTTTTTAATTTTTTTACTCCTGAAATTCTTCATGGGAATTTCCCAGCTCTCCCTCAGAGTTTCAGGTTGTGCAGGCTTTCATTTCTGAAACACAAGTGGCTTTTAAAAAATTTTTATTAGAAAACCTTTGCTGCCATCTTTTGGTCACATGAATAATTTTTCTTTCCTGGGCTGACTTTTCTTCTAAGTTGTTTCCTGTGTTTCTCATTTTAGAGATACAGGGCCAGATTCTGTTCTCTTGAAAATCCAGTGTAAATCCAGAGCAGCTCCATGGATATGTCCAAGGAATGATAATAGAATCTAGCCTAAGATTGTTATATACAACATAGGATGCCAGTTGCTTTATATCCTCTTGTTGCAAGGCATTGTTCAGTGTTAGCAAATACTGTCTGAAATCTCTGTTAGCTCTCAATAGTGTCGACAAGATTCATATCCTAAAGATGTGGAATACCACCACCACCTGTTGGGCTGACTTAGATCAGAGGCTTTTTATCTATTTTATTTTTAATTCTATGCAAAAAAACTATACTACTTGCCCTATGTTTCTGAATACTTTCTTTAGCTGCAGAAAATGTGGTTTCCCAGTGCTCAAAGTGAAGACAAAAATGTATTCGTGCTTATGTGTGGGGGTGAGGAGGACACTCCTGACTGCCAGTACCATGCAGTTAATGCCTCAGCAGCTTACGAGTTAAAGATTCAGGCAGGTCAGATATACCAAGGATTGAGATTCGAGAAGCAACACACAATTTTGGAGCACAGAGGGCTGGTCCAAATAGCAAAGGTAAACAGGCTTCTTGCAGTCAGAGTTCAATAAATAAAAACCCAAGGGCTTCTTGCAGCCTGTTTCCTTTTGTTTCACAGTGAGTCAAATGAGCTGTCCAAATCCAGACAGTGAGTAACTGTCAACAGTTCCCTTTATTACCCCTCCTAAAGGTGTTATTCACTGCAGTTGAGCCTAGCCCCATTCCACCACTGTCTGGATTCCAATGATTCCTTACTCTGAGGACAGGCATCTTCAATTGACTCTGCATATGGAAAGAAATTTTTAGCTCTCTACCCTCCAGAGTCCGTATTTCCCATTCACAAGTGCTAAAATACAGGCTGGCTGTCCCAATATTTCTACAGTAGGCTGGCTTCTTTGCTGCTCATTAGGCATTTTTTGCTTCCTTTTTAAGTAGTTCATGCACAAATAAAATTTTTTTTCACTTTCATTTTTATCACTTTTCTTATGGGAGAAATTAAGTCAGGTTGCTCTACCATATGCCTGGAGACTAACTCTGAACACAGTGGGTGAAGTCCTGGACCCATTGATAATGAGTTTTGCTATTGACTTCATTTTAGCAGCTGCTTCTCCCTTTTCACTGGGGCCAGGATTTCACCCTGTGTACAAAAAGTCATAGGACAGCAAATGGGGGAGTTATGGCCTTTCCTTCCAAACTTGTGCGGTGTGCTTTCTGGACATAGCTGAAGATCTGCTCCTCTTAGATACTACAGTAATGGGGACTATGTAAATACCAGAGCACTTCGCTATTTTAAAAAAATGCATTTATCTTCACAACACTCCTGTGAGGTAGGGAAGTTCTGTGACAGGGCAGAGGCTTGAACCTGGGTCTCCTAGTGTTATAGCTAGTGCCCTAACTACTGGATCATCTTTCCTCTTTGGGTCTGGCACCTTTATTTGCAGCTGACTAAAACGATCACAGTGTTAACTGGGCATTGTACATTGTAATTGTGTGTGTTTTGCAGCACAAAATTTGCATTGTATCAGCTGAAGAATTTTCTCTAGAATATGTGGATCCTAAAGTACACTGCATAGCCACTTTTGGGAGCTTTCTTAATCAAAGGTAATTTGCATGCTTCCTTCCTTTTTTATGAAAGAGTCGTTGAAAAGGCAGACATATGCATTGAGTGGTATTTCAATGTCTTTATGACTGAAACTTTGTTCTGTGACTCAGAGATGATTGTAGGCCAACATATTACAGGGTAATAATTGATAAAAAGTTTGTGTTAATCTAGACAGTCTAGGATTTAGTTAATACCCTCAGTAGCAGATTCCTAGCCTGTCTGAACTACTGTATGCTAAACTACTGTATGCTAAACCTAAACAAGTGGATTTAACACCAGAGTCAGGAGAGTGAGGATTATACTGACTTGCTCTGGCCCTGATCCTGCAACTGGTAGCTTGTGGGCAGAGGCTGCTGTGCCATGGGAGAAATGTGATTATATAAAGTGCAGTATCCTGGACATCCAAGATGTAGAAATACATTGTTTCTACCTGGGCAAATCATGGAATGTTCTTAAATGACCATTATTCTGATACGAGTTTCATTCTGAACTTTTCTTCACCACTTCATTTCTGCTAGGATTTTAGCAGCTGCTTCCCATGAACTTAGATATTAATGATGTATGCCATTTCAAGACTTCTTTACACACAGGTCTTTTTCTACTATGTTGACAAATGTAAAAGGGGGCTTAAAGTGAGTGTAACTGTAATTTACAAGTCTTCAAAAGGTAGAAAGAATTGTTGACTAAATCTAACAATTCTCAAGATAGTATCTGCTAAAATAATATTTGAATTGAAGTGGATGGGAGAAAAATCAGGATGGTAATCAGAATGAAGAGCTTTTAAGGTCCAATACGTCATCTTTCTTGGCTTCCACATGGTGTACAGCGTTTCATTTTCAGCCCCTGCTTATCCTAAAAAAATCAGTCTTATAGCTGGGACTAGTTCCTGAGAACTGAATATAGGAAATCCTGGACTTCACAGCAATATAGTTTTGAAACCCTTGAATCTGAATAAAAGGTTGGTTTCAGGTTGGTTGAAAAAATAAAATTAAACAACTATGAAGAATATATACCTTTATTTTTGGTTTTGTGGAAAGACATTGTTTTTATGTTTTCATATTTGCTTTAGTTCCAGCATAAATAATTTATGTTACAGTTTTGTTCTGTTGTTAAATATATTATTAGCTGGCTTCATATTTAATTTTATAAATGGGTTTAATGTTCATGAAATTGGAAGATTAACGGCATTGGCTCAGTTTAGTTATTTGATGAGCAGATGCCTTATGAGATTTCCCACACAGGCCTGGCAAATGCACCTCAGTTCTGGACTGGAAACAAATCTGCTGTTCCAGTTCTGTGCCTCTCTTGAGCAGAGATTGATGATTGCCTCATGCTTATAAGAAGTGAATAAATATCCATGAGTGACTAGAATGAAATTACCAATTAGAATTTCACTTGAAGCCTTAAAAAAGATTTCTTTCAATCCAGATGGTCAGAAGTAAATGCACCTAGAAATGGATGGTTAAACATTTTGGGTTGTCTATAGAGTCCCTTTTAGGGAGAGATGTTGTCCATATACCTACTTAGGCTCTACTCTTGCAAATACTTGCACATGTGGGTAACTTTTAAGTATGTGAGCAATCCCACTGATTTCAGTGGAATTACTCACATGTTTAAAGTTGAGCATGTATGCAAGTATTTTTAGGATCAGGATATTTGCTAGTAGTTTACATTCTTTAATTTGTAACTAACCTGACCCACTAAAATTTAGGTATGTGTTCGGAACCATTGGTTGTATTTTTGCATCTTGTTTAACAAACATTTAACAGGTAAGCTGTTTACGATACAGAAGTTTTGAGTAAATTTAGTTACACTTCCATTCAGTGATTTAAATCCATACATCTTCATTTTGCTTAATTGATATTAACTATGTAGAATGCAAAACAGTGACATTAGTTATTAATGTGTTTTTAAGTGTATTCATTCTAATGCATTATTCAGGGATGGCCAACCTGTGGCTCCAGAGCCACATGCAGCTCTTCAGAAGTTAATATGTGGCTCCTTGTATAGACACCGACTCCAGGGCTGGAGCTATGGGCACCAACTTTTCAATGTGCCAGGGGGTGCTCACTGCTCAACCCCTGGCTCCGCCACAGGCCTTGCCCCCACTCCACCCCTTCCCGCCCCCTCCCCTAAGCCTACCATGCCCTCACTCCTCCCCCTCCCCCCAGAGCCTCCTGCACGCCACGAAACAGCTGATCATGAGGTGCAGGGAGGGATGGGGAGGCGCTGATCGGCAGGGCTGCGGTGGGCGGAAGGCACTGGGTGTGGGGAGGGGGAGCTGATGGGGGGCTGCTGACATATTATTGTGGTTCTTTGGCAATGTAAATTCTGTCTCCTTTTCCGGCTCAGGTTGGCCACCCCTGCATTAACTTTTACCACTCTGCCTAATTTTTATTTCATACCTGTTCTGCACCACTAGGCCTAAAACTTCATTATTTTACATAAGAAATTCTTCCCTACTGCACAAATAATTACTATAATTCTATTTTTAGTGCATCATGCATTCCCTCAGTGTATGAAACTCCACCAGTGGCCTTGCTTTTGGATGCACTCAAGGATGGGAAAATTTCAGAAGTGCAGAGAAATGTACCGTACAATCCACTGAGTGTCCCTTTCCCTTCTGTTAACCGGGTTAATGGAGTAATCTTGACCTCATTACAGGTAGTTCACATTTGACTGTATTATTTCTAAGGCACAAAGTAAGTTGTCAGTAATGTTAAATAGACTGAGAACAACATGAGAGTTAAAGCTAAATGGTGTTTTAGGGCCAAGCTGTTGCAGGGTGAGGAAGTCCGATAGATAATATTCATAAACAGAAACAAAGGACTCAGAACCAAACGAATGAAAAACCGTTTTGCTGGGTTGTGCGCATTAATTAACATATTTTATAATGTAAATAGACTTGTGATGACTTGCGGCTTTGCCGCTCAGGTATATAGTTTTATAGTAAGTATGAGTGAGGGTGGGCGATTGTGTGTGTTGTGCTGGGGAATTTGTGCTGGTTTGTGTGTGTGACAAATGAGGGATGTGTGTTGCAGTGAGGGGGTATGTGTGTTTGGGGTTATTGTGTATGTTGGTTGTGTTCTGTGGGTGGTTGTGTTGATTTGCGTGGGGGTTGTGCTTGAGGATTTTGTGTTAATTTGTTTGGGTATCTGGAGTGCGTTGGGGAATTTGTGTTGAGTTGTAGGGGTGGCAAAACAACCTGTGAAGAACTGTGGCAGCTGGGCAAAGTAATCCATCATCTCTGCAGTCTCCCGCATCTCTCTGACTTATTACAACCAATGACATTGTTGCATGCAAATTAGCGGTAGAGTAAGGGTGTGATTGGCTGAGTTACCTCTGACATCACAATTGTCTAGGTCTGTTGGCATAGACAGATACATGCTTTACTGTTTATTATGTAGATATGAGTATGCAAACATAGGGACAGATCCTGCAAGATGCTTTTCCCTCTTGAGAGATGCTGAGCTCCCTCAACTCCCATTGCAGGTAGGAGCAGGCCCATAGTAAAAATGAATGAATAAAACAAATGCATAAGCTTAGCTGTCCTTGTTTCTGCAGAACCAGCTTACTCTGAGTGGGAAAGTGCCAAGTTTGGGCAGATATGTATTTGTTGTACATTTCCAGCAGTCAGCGCACCCAACATTTCCTGTGCAGGTGCTTGTGGATGGGGGACGCCTATGGTCAGGTGAGCCGTGCTTTATATTAATTCAGGTCTTTTTTCTTTCTCAGCATTTTAGCAAACTAGATTTTAAAATTTCATTTAGGTTCCTTCAGTGCTTCATTCTGCCCTCATGCTTTTGGCTGTCGAGACCAGGTGATTGCAGAAAACCAAATTGAACTGGATATCCCTGGGCCTGAGGTTTCTGTTACTGTGAAGATTCCTAATGCAAAAACACTGGTTGTGGTAAGTTTGTTACACCTCAGGATTTGAAAGTATTTTTTTTTTACCTCTTGAATAGTAGAGCTTTTCATGTTCACTATTTACTTGGAAATGGATGACTGTGAATGCAATAGTTTTTCTTAATTTATTTTGTATTTTTAAAGAGTTAATTGTAACATAGGGAGCACTTTTGTCTTGTCTTGTCTTGTCTTGTCTTGTCTTGTCTTGTCTTTTGGTCCAAATGTTGACCAACTACAAATCTGATAAAAAAGTGGGGTGAAAACATTCACAACGTTTTATACCCTTTTTAATCAAAGATGTTGATGACAAATTTAATCAAATTTCAGAGTTTTCAGCAAGCTCTGAATCTGTCTCTCTTTGATGTTAATCTTCCTCTTCTCTTGAAACAGTCATTTAGGCCCTGATAGGGAGGAGCTTAAGCATGTAGCTGACTTTTTAAGCATGTGAGTGGTCCCACTGAAATCAGTGAGGTTCAGCATGGCACAGCAGCCTCTGCCCACAAGCTACCAGTTGCAGGATCAGGGCCAGAGCAAGTCAGTATAATCCTCACTCTCCTGACTCTGGTGTTAAATCCACTTGTTGCAGCTTGTCTTAGATTGTAAATTGTTTGGAGCTGGGACTGTACTGTACTGAGGGAAAAATCCTGCCTCCATTAAGTCAATAGCAAAACTCCCGTTGACTTTAATGGGGCCAGGATTTCACCCTGTCTTTGTACAGCACCTAGCACAAAGAAACCCCATTCCGAACTGGGACTTTGGGATACTCCTGCAATACTGTAATAACAACAGCTTGTCTGTGCACATGACTTTAATCATCAAGTTCTGCTTCTAACTTTTAATATGACTGGTAGTTTATTTTTCTCCACAATACAGTAGGCATCTATTAACCTGGGGTCTGACCCAGGAAAATGCTCATGGGGAAATACTGAGCTTCCACAAATATTGTGCCTAGCCATCTTCGCTCTCCTTCCCGTAATACCGAAGGTTCAGACACATACTCCTACAGTCCATAGAAAGCATGGGACACGCTTCAGAAATGTAGAAATTTGTGTAAGAAATCTGAAGAACTGTCTTGTTTCAAGACAGCTGAATTTTGAATACAGTCTTCATATGAATTTGGGAGGAGAAACCCATCATCATTCAAAATAATTGAAAATAGCTTAACACGCAGCTTATGAAAACAGTTGTTCCAATAATTTTTCCATCCTACCAACTTCAAACAGGAGTTTGCATCTTGTAGAATAATTCAGGGATGATACTGGAAATGTATTTAGCTATAGATAAACACCTTGGTTCGTTTCTTCTGTTTTTCTATGAAATATACAGTTTAGTTTCCTTGTTGTTTTAAGGAACACATTTTAGTTGTTCCAGCAGACAGTTACAGCCATAGCCTACTTCAGAAAAGGACTGTGGACAAGTCGTTTGACTTTATCAACCAGTGTGGAGGAAACAGCTTTTATACTGAGTAAGCATCACTTTCTAAGACACTGAACATTTTACAAAAAGTTGTAAATTATTAATATTTTACTGTATATTAAAACACTTATACCATACCTATCACAGTTCTATATGAGCATGTTTTACATGGCTTATGCTGGGCCATTAAACTTACAAAGGGTATTAAAATGTGGGTCTACATTTTTCCACGACTGCACTCTGTTAGTCAAATTTAAAGGTGGAGTACCATTTCATATTGTACAAAAAAACGGAAAAGCCGTGCTGTCTATCTTGCTAAAGTGTCTATCTTCTTGGTATCTCTGAACAGAAGATACTTTCTTTGAAAAAATTATTTACTAAAATGGATGTCAAATCAGTTCAGTACTAGTGAATTGGTTTACATATGTCCATGTGTGTACATTGATATTGCTATTATGCAAATGAACTATAGTAGAAATAAGTCTCCTAATTTGTTAAGCTAGTGCAGAATGTAGTCATTATAACTTCCTAAGACCAGTTCTTACATGATTTATATTTTTCTTCCACTAGCCCAGTAACATCTTCAGCATTCTGTAAGGATTCTGTAAGGTCATTAGTGGCGTTTTACAACGATGGAGCATTGCCCTGCGGTTGCCATAAAGCAGGTGCCACTAGCTCGGCTTGTAACCCTCTAGGGGGACAATGTAGTTGCAAACCTAACGTCATTGGCCGTCGGTGTAGCCGATGCCAAACTGGGTACTATGGATTTCCGTTCTGCAAATGTAAGTACATTCTGTTGTAAGTGGAAATATTTTGTGACCTTATTTAATATGTGCTGCAGCTTCATTTTCTGCATATGGGGCTCAATCCTACAAGGTGCTGATTAACGTAACTTTGATCCAGCACAGCACTTAATCATGCACTTCACTTGAACACGAGTAGTCCCGTTCACTTTAAACACACATGCTTCAAGTGAAACATGCGCTGAAGTGCTTTGCTGGATCAGGGCCAGTGTGCTCATTGCCTTACTGGACAGAACCCAAATGCCACTCCTCCAGAGTTGAATGTTTTACTCTATACTCCCTAGTAAATAATATTTTCTAATTTATTATCAGCTGTTGTTTCCCAACTCATGGCTACAAACCCTTTCATGAATAAGCAGGGTGTAGCATTAACCTGGTAGCACTGACAGATTTATTGGTTACATGAAGTAACATTGACTATCTGCCTTTCCTGGATATTCTATTATACACTAAATACACTGATAAAGGGGTGACATTCTCACCAAAACAGTGGTTTGCCCAATGTGTAGCAAATCATGCTGGGAAGTACTAAATAATAATATTTGTGCTGAATTTGAGGAACAATTTTGTGGAAAAGGCTCAAGGTCTCAGGCTACCCCTTGAAACCTTAGTTGTTGTTACCTGGCTAATTTCCAGGAGTTTGGTTCTCTTCTCACTTATGCTGCTGTATCTGCTGAAGTCAGTTAAATGATACCAGTGTAAAGCTAGTGAAAGGGAGAAGAGAATGAGGCCCCATGTGTTTTGACTTGAATGGAATGAGAGTCATTTCTTTAAACTGAATATGATTAATCTGTAAAACATTTCCCCCAACCCAGCATGCAACTGCGGCCGACGTCTTTGTGATGACATAACTGGTCAATGTATTTGCCCTCCTCAAACGGTGAAGCCCAAGTGTGAAGCATGTGAAAGACAATTTTTCAACTACCACCCTCTTGTTGGCTGTGAAGCCTGCAACTGCTCAAGCAGAGGAATAGTTAATGTGGCAAACCCAGAATGTGATAAAAACAACGGGCAGTGCAAGTAAGTTTGCATTATTGGGTTAAACTTGTTATTACTAATGTTAAAAATGTACATTGGAAAATTCTTGAGTGGTTTGATTCACTTGTCTTTTCACATACTTGCAGGGGTGGGTGGATGTATTGTTATTTTGATATAAAGAGATTTATGCACTGCTATCCTGGGATTAGAAAATGGTACAAACTTGGTTTGCTCTGGTAATTGGTTAGTGGGAATTAGGACTCCTGAGCTTTAATTCTATTTTTGCCACTGACTTGCCATATGACTTCGAGTAAATCATTGAACCCCTCTGTGTCTTCTAATGGCTTGCCCAGTGTCACACAGGAATACAAACCAGAACTCCGTCTCCCAGACATGTGCTCTAACTACTAGATACACTTCTCATGGATTCACAGGGTCTGGTTTGTGTCCCAGCCTGTAACCAGTCCCTTGGGAGTGATCCCATTAGTGTGCTGGGCCCCAAGGGTGCACACATTTCCACAGGGACAGGCCCATGGCCTCCAAGACTGGGCCTTTGGGCATCAGCAATCCCTGTCTGTCTCCGTGGCTCCCTGCAGAGAATCCAGCCAAGCCCGACTCCCCTTTGAGGCTTGTACTGTACCCCTTTAGAGTGCAGTACTCCCATTGAGTATTTGCAGTGACACCGGGCAGCCTTTTCCTAACCAGGTAAGCATGTATTGGTCATCTGGCATACAGAATCTGAAAGTCCTTGGAGCGAAAAGGTTAAGAGAGCGAAAGGTTAAGCCGTAGCTCATCCTGGCCAATCCAGTGCAATGAAAGCTGTTATGACTCCATATTAGGATCTGTTTCCCTCTGACCTCTTTGTCTGAACCAGGTGAAAGCTGCCAGCCTCTCTCAAAAGCCAACACTTTATCCCTTGCCTTTCACTTCTCAGTCCTTTGTCTCCAGCCTGGGCTATGCTGAGTTCACATCCCCACTTGCCTGAGCTTCCCACTGTTGGGTGTTGATTGTTGTCTCTCTGTACCCTCTGTTAATCTGAGTTGCATTCTACCAGTTCTTAAATGACCCTGTTCTCTGCGGCCCAGACAGCTAGGTGACACCCACACCTCATGCCCTGCATTCCCTCCAGGAGCAAACTTAACCCTCTTTCCCCCACTGGGTAGCAATGCAAAGGACAGGGAAACTGAGGCAAACATAGGCTTCATAAAAATATTACAGAAAATTCCCACTTTGTAACAATACTCCCTCCATAATTCTTAAAATACTAATTACCTAGTGGTAGAATCTCCTTCCTTAGAAGTTTTTAAGGTCAGGCTTGACAAAGCCCTGGCTGGGATGATTTAATTGGGGATTGGTCCTGCTTTGAGCAGGGGGTTGGACTAGATGACCTCCTGAGGTCCCTTCCAACCCTGATATTCTATGATTCTATGATACCTACCTCATAAGGTGTTGTGAGGCTTAAGTAATGTTTTAAAAGAGCTTCGAGATCCTCTGATGAATCTTACACTCTGTGTAAGTGCCTGATATTATTCACTGGGAGGGAGCTGTGGGTGCTAAGCACCTTTGAAATGAAGCCATATGTGTCTAACTGCCAGCACAGTGTGATGAGAATACATTCTTTAGATGTATCCTCTGATTTACATTATATGAAAAACTACTGTGTACAACTGCAACTGCAGTGAATTCTCTTAACTTCTGAAGCCTCTTCAATCCCGTCACAGTCATCATTCTTTTATCTGCCTGTAAATATAAGAGAGCCCTTCATGGCAAGCACAAATCCGTGGAGAGGCTGTAGGGTATTTTTCTCACTCTGACTTAATTTTTGATGCAACTAAGGTATACAAGACTGGTTGAATTTGACTTGTGTGTTCATTTGTGACTCCCAAAAATGGAACATGGGCTTTCCCAGTCCACTGTTAATCCCATGAATGGAGTTTACCAACAGAGCTCTTATTTTCCCAGAGTACAAACAAAAGGAAGTACTTCCTCACACAACACACAGTCAACCTATGGAACTTGTTGCCAGGGGATGTTGTGAAGGCCAAAAGTATAACTGGGTTAAAAAAAGAATTAGATAAATTCATGGAGAATACGTCCATCAACAACTATTAGCCAGGATGGGCAGGGACGCAACCCCATGCTCTGAATGTTCCTAAGCCTCTTATCACTAAGAAATTAACAAATTTCTGCCTGAGGCAAACTCACTATTTTGCCAAAGAAGTGGAATTTTGCCTTTTTTTCTCTCTCTCTCTCTCTCTGTGAAAAGCTTTGTCATCTGTCCATAATGGTGATATTTTTCACTTGTTGGACAGTTAGTGAAAGCTCATGAGAACCACAGAAACATCAGACTGGAAAGGACCTTGAGAGGTCATCTAGTCCAGTCCCCTGCACTCATGGCCGGATTAATTATTATCTAGGCCAACCCTGACAAGTGTTTGTCTAACTTGCTCTTAAAAATCTCCAATGGTGGAGATTCCACAACCTCCCTAGGCAATTTATTCCAGTGCTTAGCCACCCTGACAGCTGGGAAGTTTTTCCGAATGTCCAACGTAAACCTCCTGTGTCCTGTCTAAATGAGCAGTACTTTATGGAGGAAGGTAAATGAGCAATACTTGATGGTATAGCAGAGCTCTCTCTCTCTCTCGCTGCAAAGCACTAATTATTAAACTGCCAAGTTAGCCATTACATGCTGATTAAAATATTCAATTCCGTGGATTACAGCAAAGTCCAAAGTCCTAATTCTATGTGCAAATTTACTTTCTATTATGAGGATATGTGGGTAATGTACTTAGAGTGTGACAAGCCTCCCCCAGTGTATGGTGAAATGCTTAATTGTGCTCATGTGCTGTATCAAATGCAGCCCATTGTATTCAATCCAGCACTTTAAAACTATTTATTAGTTGTAAATTCCCAGTGCTTGGGTACCCACATATTCAAAACGTGAGTGCTGAGAGCCAAAGACACACGCCCGGTTGCCAAGGGATTTTAAACACACAGTTCCAGTACAGATAAAACCTAGAGATGCAGATGTTAATATTTTTAGACTTTGGAAGTGTTTTCCTGTACAGAGCCTTTGGTCTCCTGAAACCCTGCACTGGAGTTGCAGAGGGAGGCTGTGGGAAGAAGCTAGCAAGGAGATGGTGATGAAGGGCTAGGTCACAAGATCCACATTTCTGTAGATCCAGTGGCCTCACCAGACTATGCAGGTCCACTCCAGAAGCTGGAGTAGGGGCTATGGGAGGGGAGTTGCTGCTTTCACCAAAGGAGGTGCTCTGTGATCTCATGTCCTGACTTTGGGGTTGGATTTCATCTTATATCACTCTTCACACAGAGAAAGCCAAGTTACTCAGGCTTTGGGTATGTCTACACTACGGAATAAGGTCGAATTTATAGAAGTCGGTTTTTTAGAAATCGGTTTTATATATTCGAGTGTGTGTCCCCCCACAGAAAATGCTCTAAGTGCATTAACTCGGCGGAGCGCTTCCACAGTACCGAGGCTAGAGTCGACTTCCGGAGCGTTGCACTGTGGGTAGCTATCCCACAGTTCCCGCAGTCTCCGCTGCCCATTGGAATTCTGGGTTGAGATCCCAATGCCTGATGGGGCTAAAACATTGTCGCGGGTGGTTCTGGGTACATATCGTCAGGCCCCCGTTCCCTCCCTCCCTCCGTGAAAGCAAGGGCAGACAATCATTTCGCGCCTTTTTTCCTGAGTTCCCTGTGCAGACGCCATACCACGGCAAGCATGGAGCCCGCTCAGGTAACCGTCACCCTATGTCTCCTGGGTGCTGGCAGACGCGGTATGGCATTGCTACACAGTAGCAGCAACCCCTTGCCTTGTGGCAGCAGACGGTACAGTTCGACTGGTAGCCGTCATCGTCATGTCCGAGGTGCTCCTGGCCACGTCGGCTGGGAGCGCCTGGGCAGACATGGGCGCAGGGACTAAATTTGGAGTGACTTGACCAGGTCATTCTCTTTAGTCCTGCAGTCAGTCCTATTGAACCGTCTTATGGTGAGCGGGCAGGTGATACGGACTGCTAGCAGTCGTACTGTACCATCTTCTGCCGAGCAGCCATGAGATGTGGATGGCATGCAGTCCTTCTGCACCGTCTGCTGCCAGCCAAAGATGTAAAAGATAGATGGAGTGGATCAAAACAAGAAATAGACCAGATTTGTTTTGTACTCATTTGCTTCCCCCCCTCCCCTGTCTAGGGGACTCATTCTTCTAGGTCACACTGCAGTCACTCACAGAGAAGGTGCAGCGAGGTAAATCTAGCCATGTATCAATCAGAGGCCAGGCTAACCTTCTTGTTCCAATAAGGACAATAACTTAGGTGCACCATTTCTTATTGGAACCCTCCGTGAAGTCCTGCCTGAAATACTCCTTGATGTACAGACACCCCCTTTGTTGATTTTAGCTCCCTGAAGCCAACCCTGTAAGCCGTGTCGTCAGTCGCCCCTCCCTCCGTCAGAGCAACGGCAGACAATCGTTCCGCGCCTTTTTTCTGTGCGGACGCCATACCAAGGCAAGCATGGAGGCCGCTCAGCTCACTTTGGCAATTAGGAGCACATTAAACTCCACACACATTATCCAGCAGTATATGCAGCACCAGAACCTGGCAAAGCGATACCGGGCGAGGAGGCGACGTCAGCGCGGTCACGTGAGTGATCAGGACATGGACACAGATTTCTCTGAAAGCATGGGCCCTGCCAATGCATGCATCATGGTGCTAATGGGGCAGGTTCATGCTGTGGAACACCGATTCTGGGCTCGGGAAACAAGCACAGACTGGTGGGACCGCATAGTGTTGCAGGTCTGGGACGATTCCCAGTGGCTGCGAAACTTTCGCATGCGTAAGGGCACTTTCATGGAACTTTGTGACTTACTTTCCCCTGCCCTGAGGCGCATGAATACCAAGATGAGAGCAGCCCTCACAGTTGAGAAGCGAGTGGCGATAGCCCTGTGGAAGCTTGCAACGCCAGACAGCTACCGGTCAGTTGGGAATCAATTTGGAGTGGGCAAATCTACTGTGGGGGCTGCTGTG